GGGTGTGTTCCAGCCTTTCTCCTTCTTCTTCTTGGCCTCCATCTTCTGCTGTGATGGTGGGACTTTTAGATTGGTTTAGAGTAGAAGCTCACTGTCTAACATAGGTGATGGGTATTGGAAAGTAATTGTAAATATTGTACAGGTAGTTTTTAATATAAAAAGATAACACTTCCCTGGGGCCAGGCAGAGTGCCTCTGTCTGTCCTGCTGAGCGGATCTCAGCTGGACAGGAGAAAGAATTTTATAGATAAGATACAATATACAACCTTGAGACCAAGAAATTAAGAGCTCTGATTCCTTCTTCGACCACCAGGCTGGGAAAAGAGATTTTCTGTCTGCAGGTCACTCTGACCAGCTAGAGATCCTGAGAAGGTGGGATGGGATGGCCCAAGGGAAAGCCAGGCCTGTGATTGCTGTGTGGGGAGCCCTGGTTGTGCTTTGCTGTGTATCCCAACTGCTTCAGACTCTGCCCACCCATGCTGGATTCAGCTTTGCAAAGCCAAAGGTATTTCCCTAAAAATTTGAAGAAATCATTAAATCCACATTCCTCTGGAAAGGAGCTGTGGGGCTGGAGAGAGCCCAGGCTGGGGTGTGTGGGTGGCAGATGATGGCCAGCCTGGCTGCTCAGCATGGCACAGCACCCCGAGAGGACACAGTCCTGCTGGCAGCAGGAGCACCAGCTCTCCACCACACTGCCCTGCCTGCTGCACACAGCCAGGGGTGGTCTCAGCCCCACTGACTGCCCAGAAGCACAATTCCAGCGCCAAGTGAAATTCAGTGATTTTGTTTCTCTCCAACTTCTCTGGCTGTGGTGACAGAGCTGTGACAGCTGACTGGAAACACAGCTCTGCTCCCAGCAGTGAGAGGGGAGCAAGAACTGCTGCTGAGCACAAAGCCAGGTCATCTCCAGATACTGGGAGCACTCCTGGGATGGGCTGGGAGGCAGCAGAGCCACAGCAAGCAGACAGCACAAAACAGAGTTCTGTGACAGCAAAAGAGCCCTGACAAGACAGAGCTGCTGCCTGCACCGAGCACAGGGCAGAGATGTGAAACAGATTTTGCTGAGCAGGGAGAGTCTGACACCAAGCCTGAAAGCAGCTCAAGGGCTGGGTAAATGAAAGGATGTAGGGGGCTGGGATATTAGCTGTGCTGGAGGTGGTTAAAAGGAGTCAGATTTCTGGTGATAAAGCAGCTTCCTCAGAGGGTATGGGGAGAGAAGGGATCACCTTCCAGAGCAAGATATTGCCAGTGGGAACGGGAGGTAGAGGTTGACACAGCCTTGCTTCATTCAGCTACCAGAGATGGATTTTCCTCCTGGGGTTGAAGGTATCACTGCCCTTTTTTCACTTCCTTTTAATGATCCCAGCAGATCACATCCATCTTTTGCAAATCCCTCTCTAGAGGGGACCTGGACACCTCGCCTTCTGGAGCCTGCCATGGCTCAGTGCAGGCACTGGAGGTGACTGATGCAGCCTCCCTGTGCTGGGGATGGAAAGGGGCTGCAGCAGCACGTGGCTGATGGGACACAGCCCTGCAGGACCCGTTCAGAATGTGACAGGGGCAGGTGTCACTGTCCTGGCCAGCACTGCCAGCAGACAGCCACAGGTCACGTCCCATGTGGTGAGAAGCATCATCTGCAGAGCAGGACTGGCTTCCCCTCCTGCAGGAGGAGGAGGAGGAGGAGGAGGAGGAGGAGGAGGAGGAGAGGGACCTGTCCTTACCCTGCCCTGATAGGAGGCTGTTGTGCAACTGCTGGAGAGACAGAAGCTGCTGTAGAAGAATTTCCTCAGAAGGGGCTGTGTTGAGGAGGCATGGAGCTATTCAAGCATCTTCACACAGATGCTTCTGCAATCAAAGCTCTCAATAATCCTCCTCTTTTGTAGTGAAGGGTCTGGTTCTGACTGGCAATTTGTTGCTTTGAGCTCTCTCCACTTCCCCACAATATACAAGAAGCAAATCCTCCTGCACAGCACAGGCTCACACTCAATGCCAGGCACTTGTCACCTCCACTGCAGTGAGCACAGTGACTGCAGACACCTCCTCCTCCTCCTCCTCAATGTGGAGCTCCCAGAACACTCCAGACCCCAGCCTCTAGAATCCCAAAGTGTTTGGGTGCCTCAAGTGGGACAGCAGGACTTGGAGAGCTGCGGCTGGATGAGAGTTCTTGTTGCCAAGGACCTGGGCTGGAAACTCGGGTACAGACACTCAGTTCTGTGCAAACGGGCCAAGTGTGCAGACCTGCCAGAGCAGGTGGCTGTGACCACAGCACAGACTGACCTGCTGTGAGGGGGCAATTAATGCTGCAATTAATGGTGATGCTGGCAGAAAGGCTTCCTCAAGGCTGGCAGCTGTAGAGGCACTCACTGTAAGTGCGAGAAGGAAATCTGCATGGATGCTGAGGGCTGACAGCACACCTTGTGCCCCTGGAAAACCCTCTGGCCTCAAGGCTTCCCCCTTCTGTCACAGCTTCCACTAACTGCTGTCATCAAAGGTCACCAGATGCTTCTTCCATAACATTTAGTGAATAATCAAGGGAGCAGGATGGAGTGGAGGCAAGGGGATGGTGAAGGATAAGGGAACACTCAAAGACCTGGGGGAACAATAATCCTGTTTTGCAGCCAGGACTGTAAGATGCTGTTTAAATGGTTTTATGGAGCAGTTTGAAGTCTGCCTGTTCTATCTGCTGACCTGGCCCTGTCCCCTCTCTCTGTGCCTGCTCCATCCCTCCCTGGTGTGCCACTGTCACACTGATGGGTCCTGCAGCCACCTCAGTGAGGCTTCCCAGGCCCAGGGAGGGTCACATTTTACCGTGAACACCTTGATCTTTCCCCAGCCCCTGGCCATCAGGGAAACCACCAGCAATTGATTTAGCTGGGTCAGGCCAGAATGTCATTTATTTGCATTGTTTCAGTATTAAAATTGAGTTTGAAGGAAGGTTTTTTAGCTGCTGCCAGTAACTGAACACTGCTGTAACACACAGCATCACCAAAATGAGAATGGGTCAGGTAGCAAAGCTGTTGACAATGCTCAGATGTACTGAATCCATCAAGAATTACAGAATCATACAATGGTTTGGGCTGCTCAAAGCACAACCCAACTTTCTCTGGAAAGGGATAGAGAAAACCAAGGGCATTTTTTTTTCATTGTTCATTTTCAATTTTTTTTTTCAAGTTCAGAGAGAAAAAATGACCCTTCTCTTGAAGAAGCTTTTTCTGATGAGCATTTCAATGAAAAATGGGAAGAAGCCAGAGATGCAGCATCCTGCCAGTGGGAACTTGCTGCAAGGGCTGGCTGTGCCATGGCCCATCAGCCACCCAGCCCCTCGTGGAAAGCACCAAAGGGACCACAATGAGAGGGCAATGCAAGGAAAAGAAAAAAGACAAAAAAGCACATAAGACTCAGACTAGACGACAAGGAAATAATTTATTTCCAGGTCCCAGAAAGACCTTGAGAAAAAAAAAAATAACAAGGGTGAGGAAATCAACCTTCTAATTTCATCTGGGTAGAGAAACAAAACCGAAGTGACTCCGTGGGACACGGTGGCAGCTGCCAGCTCCCCCTGCGGGGCCGGGCGGGGGGCGCGGGCTCCTCCCGTATTTACAGAAAGGGAAACGCGAGCGTGAGTGCATGCGGAGCACGGGCTGCGCGGGGATGGGAGGGGTGCTAAACACCGACCCTGTCAGACCCCGTCTGCTAGGACAGAGCCCTGCTATTGCACAACACTTGGCTAGAGGGAGCGCCGGTGCCCGGGGGGCTCAGCTCTGCAGCCCAGGGGGAAAACACGAACACATTCCTGAGGAAAGAGAGGGATTTCTCCGTTCTCCTGCTTGGAGGTGCGGGGTGCCACGTGCTCGGGATGCTGTGGCCAGAGCTGGCACTCAGGGCCCTGCTGCCTCCCCAGCAGCATCACAGTGAACCAGCAGCACGCTGGGCACGGGTGCCAGCCGAGGCCCTGAGGGGCTCCTGGTGCCAGCGTGAGCCCAGCCGGGCTCTGCACGGGCGGCAGTGGGCAGGAGCAGCTGAGGGCAGGCACTGGTCCTGTCCCTCTCTGCTGCCAAAGGAACGCCAGCAGCCGGGAAGCAACACGCAGTAAAGAAATGGACACGCATGTACAGCTACAGTTAAACCTGCTCCAGAGAGAGAAACAGGGGCTGTAGTTAAACTAAAAGGACAAACCCAATGACAAGCCCAGGATGTGTCAGGCCTTGGGAGACCGTATCAGTAACCTATCAATGATATAATTGATTTTTTTTCCCAACGTGAACAGATAAGGAGCTGCACCAGCCAGGATGGCCTGAGGTGCTGTGCAAGGACATCACTCTGCAGGCTGTTCAGTTTTCCCTGTGGTGGTTGGCAGGCTGGGAAGGCACTGGGCACCCAGTGCTTTCCCCCAGCATCATCTGCAGCCTAAGGAGCACTGGCACATCCCACTGGCACCTTCCTCCCCCGCCTCCCAAGCCCAGGAATTACATGCAAAAGCAGTCCTGCTGGCAGCTCATGCTGGTTTGCTGCAGGACACTGTGCAGGGCTGGGGACACCCTGGGCATCCCGAGGTGTCACAGATGTGCTGCCCAATCTGCAGCCAGCTCGGCCCCAGAGCTGTGCCAGCAGGTTCTGGCCTCACACACATCTCCTGGGATGGCTGTTCTGTTGCTGATGGTGATGCTCTGCTGTCAGCAGGGTGCAAGCAGGAATTATTCTCCCCAGCCAGGGGCCAGGGCTCTCCTGCACCCTGCAGCAAGGTCCTCCATGGAATGCAGCTCTCCCCCAGCCACTGTGGGCCAGGGAGCACTGACATCCTGCCTGCTGCCCTGTGCAGCTCACTCCATTTGGTGACAGCCAGTGCCTGCTGGGAGCCCTGCAAACCCCAGGTCCTGTGTGAGGGGCTGGCAGAGCCCACCTGGGGGTGGTGCTCTGATGGCACTGCCCAGCACCACAGCTGCTGTGTGGCCCAGGACACAACATCGTGCCTCGGTGACAGGTGGGATATCCCTGGTGTGCCACTGGGGCTGTGGGGCACACCAGCACTTCACAGACAAAGTCTGCTGTGCGGGGAGTGTTGGGGATCCCCTTCACATCACCAGACAGAGGTGAAGGGATTGGCAGCACGGAAGGGAAAGCTGTGAGCAGCCGTTCTGCAGGGTGTGATCCCAGCGTGGCATCCTCCCTCCAGCACCGTGCCCGCAGCCGGGGCTGCTGAGAGCCCCACGGGGAGCAGCGAGAAGGAAGACTTCAAAAAGCAAGTAAACTTAGGAGGGGAAAACCTGAACAGAAGTTAAAAGCTTGTTTCCCTCAGCAAGGAAAGCTCTTAAAGAAATCAAAGCTCTTTAAATGCTCCGACTCAAGTGACAAAAACAATTTAGACAACAAAAGGCTCCCGGTTCGCTCTTCCTCTCCTGGATGGGGATCGCCGAACAGATCTATTTAAATGATAATTTGTGGGGGAGAAACCCTCTCCAAACCCTCTTGAATTAGATCTTCTCCTTCTTAAGTCAATGCGCAGTGCTTTAATGGAGACTGGCTTTGAGGACGCCCCGGCGGCTCCTCCGGGCTCCCCACCCGAGCCGCACAGGAGCAGTCCCCGGTGCAGCCTCTGGCCAGCAGCCGTGCAGTCCGGCCCAGGGGCACAGGATGCCCTGTGGCAGCTCTCGGGCAGCGGTCCCAGCCCAGGGGGTGGCCGGGGCCAGGGGCCGCAGGGGCAGCTAGGACTCCTCGCTGTCCTCGCCGCCCCGGCGCCCCGCGTACAGCGCGGCCAGCTGCCGGAACCGCGGCCCCCAGCCCCCCAGGTAGGAGAAGTCCTGCTCCGAGCCGCTGGACCAGGTGTTGATGGAGCTCAGCGAGGGCACTGGCGAGTCCGAGCCCTCGAAGGCATAGGTCTGGAACGAGTCATAGGGCGGCACAGAGAGGTCCTCGTCCGCCTGCTCCACCTTCCTGCAGATGTAGTCTCTGAACACAGAGAAGTCCAGGTCTGGGCTCTGCACCCACTGCGGGAGGGCGTGCAGCTCCGAGGATGGGTTTCTGCCTGGGCCCCCCTCTCCTGGGCCCCCGCCTCCATCACCAGCTTTGATCTCGCTGAAGTCGTAGAGGCTGCGCAGTGCTGACATGTCATAGGCCTCCGTGTCCTGCTCACCACCTCCTTCATCGTTGTATTTGATGACATTGTCCCTCATGTCCTCGTCCTCCTCAGAGGTCAGGTGGCTTTTGTGGTGCCGCTTCAGCGTGAGGATCAGAAGGACCAGCACTGGGGAAGGAACAGACAGTCAGAGGGGCGCAGAGTCTCAGGGATGCTGTGCTCCTGCAGGGTGAGGACAACCCTGCTCGGTGGCAGGGGTGGAGGCACAGCACCCCCAGCACAGGGAGCCCTGCCAGGATGTCAGAGGGTTCCCAGTATCCAGGCTCATCAAGCAGCAGCCCTGCTGTGTACTGGCTTGGAGACAGCTTTGCCCAGGCTCCAGGGCAGACTGGGAGCCTCCCTCACCATGCAGCGTGACCACCGAGACAGGAGGGAGAGATGGATAAACACACAGCTGAACAGAAATTGATGGGGTCTACAGAAGGTGAGCAGGAAAAGGGGGTGCATGATTCACAGCAGCAGCTAAATGCTGGTGGGTGAATGTGGAGCAGATGGCACAGAGCCTGAGCAGCGAGCCGCAGCTGTGTCCTGGATCATCATCCATTCAGCCCATCACCTTTAAAGCACCAATGTGCACTTTATTTGTCTGGGCAATTAGGCAGAAATTTGTTTGCACTGCGTTGGAAAATGAAACCAGTCTAAAGTGCACCCTGTGGGAAAGGGTTTTCTGAACGGAGATGCAGCAGGAGACAGGGAGTGGAGACACGCCAAGGAGAGGAAACCTCACCAAACAATGTGCTGCCTCCCACAGGTGCCTGGACAAGCCCTGGAGCCGGCCAGGAGCCAGCTCTGGGGCCAGAGAGGGCTTTCAGCAGCTGCATCCATCAACTGTCCTGTGCTAAACCTGAGGGCACTGCAACACCCCTCATTCAGAGCCCCTTCCCACATGCACACACTCCCCATGCCAGCAAAGCTTGTGCCAGTGTGCCAGTGTCAGGCAGCAGCATTCCCAGGGTACAGGTTCTGACCTAGGCAGCACTCTGGTTTGACCACAGCCCAGCTCTGATCCTGCCCACACACTCACACATGCTCTAACACTGACCTTTTCAGGTAAGAGCAGACCTGTGTGCCCCACACCACAAGCTGGGCTCACACAGCCCCATCTGCTGTGAGACGCCTGCGGTGGGCACAGCAGGGCAGCTGCCAAGCAGCTCTTGGCTCCTGCCTGTCCAGGCAGGGAGTGAGCCAGCAGCTCTCCAGGCTCTGCTGGGCAGCATCACACCTGCCTGGCACAGGGAACTCTGCCCTGGCTGCCTTGTGGAGCCCAGCACCATGAGCTGTGACAAACATGGGAGCGCAGGGGCTGAGGTTCATGTCCCCATGCTGCAGCTCCCAGGGAGGAGACAGATGCACAGAAGCACTGTGCCCACATTCATTGATGCTGAGGGAGTGGAGCAGGGCCAGGCCAGGCCAGGGAGGGCTCAGGGGACAGGCAGGCACTCACCAACCAGGATGAGGACGCAGACCAGCAGCGCGATGAGGGCGCCGGGGCTCAGCGTGGCTGACACCACGTAGGCCGTGCTGTTGCAGGACTGGATGGCCCCGGTGCTGTCACAGCCACACACACGGATGGTCAGGGTCCCTGTGCTGCTCAGGGCTGGGGGGCCACTGTCCACCACCAGGATGGGCAGCAGGTACACGTCCTGCTCCTGGCGGTTGAAGCCCACTCTCTGTGTGTGCACCGCTGCCGTGTTGTCTGCAGGGAACAAGGAAAACCTCAGCAAAGTCACCCCCACATCATCACAGCCTGCAGGACCTGCCAGGGGCTCCTCCATGCTCTGGGTGAACAGCAGCTATTCCTACACCACCCCCAGCAGTTATCCTGAGAGAGCCTGGGGCCTCCTCCTCCTCCATCACATGGATCCAGCTCTTGGCTCCCTGGAGCTGCAGCCCCCTTCTAGCCTGAGTGTCTGAACATGGCCAGCTCCACTCCAGCACATTCCCCTTTGCCAGCAGCACCTCAGGGCCAGCCTGGCATCTCCTTTGTCACCACACCTGGCAGTGAGCCTGGCACAGGAGCAGCAGCACATGAGTCTGAACCACGCTGACAAACAACGCAGGTGGCACAGAGAGAGGGGAAAAACTTCCAAAAGACCCTCTGAGAGTGGCACAGAGTCAGGATAAAAATCAACTGCTGACATGTACACACGAACAGACAGGGTCTGCAGGTGGCACTGAGACTGCAAGAGCAGACACTGCTTCTTCCAAAGCCAAAAGCCATGAGTGAATGGTCCTGCCTCAGCCGGAGGGCCTGATACCCCTGTAATCCCTCTGTAACTCCTGAAGGAGTAGGCAGAGCTTCTTCCAAGCCTCCCAGCCAAGTCAGGCATCCTCCTCCCCATCTGCTTACACCCTGCTGCTTGAGGGGCTCAGCTGGCACAGCACAGCTCGTTAAGATCCCATTAACACAGCCACTTCAGGGGCCCTCCAGGGCCCTGGAGCCAGCCATGAACCCAAGGAGCAGCTGCTGCCCACCAGGAGCAGGGGCAGGCACTGACACTGGGACTGGCTCCCTGCTCAGGGGTGCTGCAGGCTGCCAGCCAGCAGCAGCATGGGCAGGATGGGGCTGAACAGCAGGTGACAATTGGAGCCAGGTGTCACAAGCCACTGCCGGCTGTCTGCAGCCTTTATCTAATAAACCATGGATTGCCCACTCACAGCAAGGTGCTGCTGTCTACAGACTCTGCTCATCAGAGCTGATTTATGCCAGACCATCCCCTTTCTCTATGAATCAGCCCTTCCATTGGAAAAGACATGTACGGTAACTCTGGCCCTTGGGCTGCTGCCACCACGGAAATTGCTGTATGGATTGGGGGCTGCACGAGAGCACCAGGGCATGGTGGGGACAGGAGGTGAGCCAGGATGGAAAATCTGCTGGTCAGCCAGGAAGCAGATCCCAAAGGACGTGTGTGGCAGCCAGGGCACTGCAGAGCACAGATTCCTGTCCTATGGGATGCCTGCCACTGTGGCTGAGGCTCCTGGGGCAGTGTGTGGCAGCAGCACCATGGCAATGGGCACAGGTGGCAGCAGGAACAGGGGAGCACTGGCACCTGGGGGCAAGGAGGCTGGACCAAGTGTGGTGGCAGCAACACCTCAGAGCTGCCTGTGGCCTGCTAAAGATGAGCTATGAAAAAAAAATATTGTTATGCTAATCGTTTGCACAAAGGTAATGAGATCTCATTTGGCGCTGGTCCCCCCTCCTTGCTGCAGTGTAGCAGGGGGATATAAATAATGTTAATGGCACTGTCTCAGCAAGAGACCAGGACTAACTCCTGGCTAGTCCAGCTAAAAGTGAGCCTCAGACACCTGGATGGAGTGGGGATAAAACCACAATGTGGTGGTGTTCACAGGGGTCTTAGGATGAGGGAAGAGATGAGGATCTGTCTCCATGTTTCAGAAGGCTGATTTATTAATTTATGATATATATTACATTAAAACTATACTAAAAGAATAGAAGAAAGGGTTCTTCAGAAGGCTAGCTAAGAACAGAATAGGAAAGAATCATAACAAAGGCTTGTGTCTCGGGCTCTTTGTCCGAGCCAGCTGGGCTGTGATTGGCCATTAACTACAAACTACCAACATGGACCAATCAAAGATCTACCTGTTGCATTCCACAGCAGCAGATAATCAATGTTTACATTTTGTTCCTGAGGCCTCTCAGCTTCCCAGGAGGAAAAACCTTAAAGAAAAGATTTTTCATAAAAGATGTCTACGACACCACATGACAAAAAGGACAGACCAAAATGCTGTAAGAGGGTAAGGCTCTGGCCACAGCCCAGGAAGGTCACCTTTGCTGTCACTGTCACACCAGCCAGGTCACCAGCCTGGGGCTGGGGTCAGATCCTGGCTCAGAGGATCCCTGAGCACACAGCCCTGCACCTCCACTCCATCAGCCCAGCCCTCACACAGGGCTGCTGGAACACAGGGCTTGGAACTCCCCCAGCTGCTCCTCAGCACTGTGCAAACGCAGGGGTAGCACCAAACCTCTCTGGAAATGCAGCAGGAGTCTGGCAACTCCCTTCTGTTTACAGGCAGCTCCAGCTCCTGCGAGGGACCTGCGACAAGGCATGCTGTATTTTTAGAAACAGTCTCTAGAAACCAAGGGGAGCTGCACATGCAAGTGGCAGAGGGGCAGGCACCAACCTCAGCTCAGCCCAGACAGTTTAGGCAGTCTGGCACCACTGAAAAAGAAATATTGCCACCCACCAAGTCAAAATAAAGAACGTGGTGGTTAAATTTAACAGCAGCATGACAGACAGGTCTGCTCAGAGAAACCTCGCCTCAGGAAGGGGCTGAGGGTTTGCCCTGTGACCCAAAATTGAGGCAAGGGAGCCACAAAAATCACAGCTACAAATGCTACTTAAAACATCATGAAACTATATTTTATCTCCTGAACAGGGTGGCAGGCGCCCTTCATCCCAGGAGGGAGATGCACAGGGATTTCAAATGTACAGCAATGAAACTGCTCACCAAGGCTTGACAGCCAGAGCCCAGCCTGGCAGGGACCACCTGTCTCTGGCATTGAAATGGCTCCACCACCTGCCCACCACCCCCATGAACTCCTCTCTGCTGGGTGTTTGCACCCCTGTCACTCACAAACTACAGTGTTCCCTTCTGAGATACTCCAAAAAAAGGTGCTCTGCCATAGGATTGTAGTCCTTTTGATCACAAATCTGGGAAAATTTTGCCCACATCTTGGAATGTATATCCTGGAAAATGCATCCAAGGCAATCTCCTACAAAACAACTGTCATTTCTCTTGGTGCAGTTGTTTCTTTACATGTGGCTGACCCACAGCAGCTGCTTGGGGATGTGCCTTGGTGCAGATTTGTTTGCACTGGCACAGCCCAGGCAGCCCTGGCCCCGCAGCCCTCGTGTCTGCTCCTCTGCAGCAGTTTCCTGCCAAATCCATTTCTGGGGTGATGAGCTGAGGAGCAGCAGTGCTTCTCAGGAGCAGCACTGCAATGTGAGCAGACGTTAATCCACAGCTCTCCTGAACAGACGACTCTGGGTCTCCACACTTGGTTTCCTGCCCAGTCCCCACAAAGCTGCACCTTCTGCTGAGCCTGTGCTGAGTGTCCTCTGATGCCCCAGTCCAAACCTTTTACTATCACTGCCTTCCTGCTGCACAAATTGACATTTTCTTCGTAGGATTCCTGCCACCCTCTCTCTGATCACGCAGTGACATTATCCTGTGTTACATCACATCACCTTGTGAGACAGGGCAGGAGATGGCCCTCTGTCCACCTGAGGAGCAGGGCACTGGGCAGGGCAGGAACTGACATGAGCTGAACACACAGGGACTCATCAACACGGCCCTAAGAGGGAACTTTGGAAAGGCAATATACTCTGGTGGTAGCTTAATGTCACTAGGAATAATAAAATAATTAAGTCTCCCAGACTCCCTCTCCAAAGAGGCTCTTGGCAGCCTTGAAGATAGAACTAATAAATCCTTCTCATAACTCAATCTCAAACAGGGCTAGCAGAGCAGGAGGGATTTTGATGTTCCTTCCCTCTCCCACACTCACGGGGCCCTGTGAGCACCTGTGTTCCCCCTCTCTGCTGCCCCAGAGCCTGGGAGCAGCAGCTCTGGGGAGGAGCACCCGGCTGTGCCTGCGGCACACTGCTGCCAGAGCTGCCCCAGGGAGCACACCTCCTCCAGCCCCAGCTGGTGGAAGAAACATCCTGGTTTTCCCTTCTGCCTCTTCCTTCTCTCGAGTTCTCAGGGTATCAGGCCACACACAGCACCACTGCTGCTCCTTCTCTGTTTGCTCAGCCCCGAGGAGGTTTGATGCTCTTTTACACACACACACCCCAAGCCTGCCCCAGCCAAACGAGCATCTGCGCTGCTGGTGCTGAGAGGGGCATCCCTCCGGGGCTGCAGGAGGCTTCCTCTATCCTCAGGCAATCCACAAATCCTAACATTTTGCTTTTGATTGTTAGGATTTTCAGATCTTCTATCACCCATTACATGCTCTTAATGAGACCTGCAGAGAGTTCAGACATCTGCTTGCCGAGCCCTTGAGCCCTGGAGTCAGTAGCTCCATGTGTCACTCCACATTACCTAGCACTCCTTCCAGGTTGCTGGGCTTGCCTGCTTTCTACCATCCCTTCCAACACAATTAGCATTTCTTGGAGAACATGATTTCAGGCTTTAATTGCCTTTGATCCCACTGTAATCAATTTTCTCAGGGCAGAAAGGCCCAGCAAAAGGCGAGTTAGGAAACAGAGGATGGTGAATGCCTTTGGAATGGCACCAGGTGGATCTGAACCTGGTCAGCTTCTCTAATTCCATCTCTCCCTTTAGTCACTCCATATGAGGGGCATCTTCTTCCTGGATGCTTGCTGTTGTTACCACAGGTGACATTTACTCTTTGTCTGGTGAATCAGGGAGTGTGTGAGAGCTCCCTCAGACAGAGCAGAAGCAGGGAAAGAGAGGCACCAACAGGCCATGGTGCTGTTTCCAAACACCCAACTTGCCAATCACCTGTAACTCAGCTATGTGGCTGCAGGGACACCCTTGGTTTTTGCATCTCCAGCCCTGAGCCAGCACAGCTCTGTGTGCCACACCCAGGACATCTGGAGGGAACCCCAAAAGTGCTGTCCCCACCCTGAGAACAAATCACTCCCCGAGGTGGCTTTCTGGTGCCACAAAGGAGCCAAGTGAAGTGGGTGCAAAGCAAAAGAGAGGATTTAAGCAAGAGCTTAGAGAATCCATCTGTGCTGACATCCATCAGTGTCACTCCTTGGCTGCAAAAGCAATATTTATAAATCACGTTTCAAAACTGGCTACAAATTTGTACAAAGAAACAGATGGGCTGGTGGTAGCAGTTTGTCACCACTGATATTTGCAAGGGGGAGTAGAGACAAGTGCATGGTGGAGAGGGGTGAATGCAGGAGAGGGAGGCAATGGGGGAACACAGGGGAGGATGCAGCAAGGTCACCTACGAGAGCAGGGGCAAAGGTGAGTGCACCCAGGGCAGCTGATGGAGTGGAGAAGGGGCAGAAATCAAAGGGAGGGAGATGGCACCAAGGCCTCTGTTAGAAATGAGGGGTGCCTCCATCTGCCACAGGCAGCCACCTCCTCTTGCTGTGGAAGACAGCACTGCTCAGCAACTGGGAGGGTCTCCAAACACTCTGGGAATAACCCTGCAGCAACAACATTTGTTTTCCCAAGAGCAGGAGGCGGGAGGTGATGCCAGCTTTTACTCATTTTATGCAGTGTTACACCACACAAAAAGCTCCAGGGATCATTTAGCACAATGAGTTACCCCGTGCCACGAGAGCCTCATCCCACTCAAGAGAGCAGCAGCTCTGGAGGAGATGGTGGCACACGTGTCCTGCATCTCCTGCAAGGGCAGCTCTTGGGCACTGCTGTGGACACCCACACAGAGCCAGGGAGCCCCTGCCAAGCCCCACACACCCCCAGCCAGTTCCCTGGCAGATGAGCAAACAGCAGTGGTGGCTCTGGGGTGGCAGCCTGGCCATGCAGACACCCTGGCCCAGAGCTCAGAGCATCATGAGGGGCTGGGCAGGGATGGACACCGAGTGCAGCTCAGCCTGTTCAAGCACATTTTCATAAGGTTTTCCAAAGAAAGTGAGGGAAGTTAATCGCTGGGTGTGGGGCAAAATCTGGCTGAGGATTAAAGCCTGTTTACATGATAAGAAGGAAAGGTCTTCTGAACAGCTGCCCTTGAGCAGAGGGGGAGGGACTCAGGTCAGGGACAGCTGTGCTGCTCAGGACACAAAGCAATACCCAGCTGTGCTACCATCACATCTGAAGCTTTTCCATTTTGACTATCCCTAATAATGCTGAACCAAACTGAGCAAGCAGGATCTTACGTCAGCAGAAGGCTCCTGTGATAAGCTCAGAACAAACTAAACCAGGCTTTTGGCAGATAAAGCTGCAAAAGCAGACAAAGAGAATGATTTTAAAAGAAAACCCAACCAAAACCAAAGAAGAATTTCAATGTGATCTGCTGGCCCCTGTGACAAGCACATGAGGCTGGAGAGGGTCCCAGTATCTGCAGGGGACTCTGCTGTACCCACTGCTACAATCAGCACCTAAATTCCCCCTTAAACACCAACCAAAAATAGGAAGCATCCTGATAACTACTTTTCTGGATTGTTACTGTCCACACAAATGCAGCCTGCAAAGTCCAACAGCTGCCAGGCCCAGCCAGCAGAACCTGCATGGCACCCCATCACTCACAGCAGCATTGAGTCACCCAGGATGAGCTACTGAGCTCAGGGATGCAGAGAACCCCAGAGCTGCCCAGAAGAACAGGCTCTGCCTGGCTGCCTGTCCCAAAGGAGAGGATGAGCCCCAGGAAACAGAGGAACTGCACCCAGAGCCACCACCTGACAGGGAATCAGGCTCTGCAGGCTGTGTCCCAGAGAACCCACTGTGGCTGTGGGCTGCCCACAGCATGGCTCCAGTGCCTCCCAGGGCTCTGGAGCTGCTCCCATTTGTCAGGGGCACAGGGCTGGCCACCCACATGGCAGCCCCAAGATGACCCCAGCTCCAGGATTTACCTTGGAGAGGAATAAATCATAACGCTCAAAATGGGAGCGTGTTCTTCTATAAATCCACATCATCTCCTTGCCTGCAGGCAGGTTGGAGATTTCCCATCAAGAAAGGGACTGAGAGCCCTGGAAATACCAAAGGCTTAACCAGACAGCATGAGAGGAGCTTTGTAGCTGCTTGCAGCAAGGAATAAAGCTGGCAGAGCCTCCTTGAGGAAATCCAAGCTGTTAGCTGATCAGTCCCACCATTTCAGGTTGACAAGAAGCTCTGCAACATGCCCAAAGCACCCAGAGCTGGCACAGAGAGACCATAACCCAGCTCCCTGTCCATGGCCAGAGGTGCTGCTCAGCCTGAAGGATGCTGGGCCAAGGGAACAGCAGGACTCACCCTGGATATCCAGCAGAGAGAAGTGGTGGTTGTTGGTGGCTTCAGGCGCCAGGGTGAAGTAGAAGCGGTGCCCGCTCTGAGGCTCGTCCCGGTCCACAACGCTGATGGTCTGGATCAGCTGTGGGGGGAGGGCACAGGTGAGCACCAGAGCTGCTCCCACAGCCTCTCCCAGGGCCCCACTGCAGGGTCCAGGCAGCAGCATCACCAGCTGCAGCCAGGGAGGGACGAGCCTTCAGCCCTGCCAATGGGCTCAGTGGGAGCAGCAGAGTGACTCACCCTGGCACAGGGGCTGCACACCAAGGCTCTAGGGCAGGGGGGACAGATGGGCAAGCTGGCATTAGTCCAGAGTGCTGTCTGCAGCCCTAGACCAGGGCTGGGGGACTCTCACTACCTGGCCTGGCTTGGCATCCTCACACACAGCAGCTTCATAGGGGGTTGCAAGCTCAGGTGGATTGTCATTGACGTCCAGGATTCGGATACGGAGAGAGGCCCTCGACACCTGGGAGTGGTTGTCTGAAACAGAGAGAGAAGCAGAGTTTCAGGACAAAGGGACAACTGCTGCTATCAAAGAGCAAACCCCCTCATCCCCATCTGTCCAGAGCCCATCGTGGGCTGCCAGCACTGCACCTCTGCCTACCTGTGCACAGACTGTCTGCAGGACAGCAGCACCTGCAGAGCATGCTTCAGCCCCGCTGCACCCTGCAAGGGAAGCCCAGCCACTGGGCTGTGTGCCAAGGAGCCCTGAAGCACCACCTGATCCACCCCTGGAAAATTGGAGCAGCCCAGAGCTAGTCCCAGCCATAAGAGTCAGGATCTGTGCTGCAGCAAAACAGCACCAAGATGGGACAGAAAACTGGGATGTGAGATCCCCCTTTGACCCGGATCCTGATCCATATGTGCTCAGGACTGGCAGCAACATCCAAGGGCCAAGCAAATGGAGCTGGGATGTGAAACAGCTGCACCAGCTAAAGGCACAGGTTGGTGGTGAGATCTGTCTGTCCAGCTCTGCTGTGCCCAGGTGACCCAGGGTCAAATGTGCCCCACTGAGGCACGAGGCTCTTGCCCAGGGACACAATCCTCTAATGCTGACACTGGGGTTTTGTTAAACACATCATCCACCAGCTGGCATGAGGGGGGCACGCAGTAAGGCTGAGGGCAGCCCTGTCACCCTGGCACTCACCAGCCCAGCCCCACACAGGCAGTGGTCCCGGGGACCCCCTCCCTTGGGGCTCACTCTGCACGTGGGATGGGGCAGCATTTACACCTCCACTCACTGCAGCATCACTGAGCTGCACACACACTGCCGAGGGACACCGAGCCCGTGGCACAGGATTATAAATCACTCTGGAGGGCCTGATGTTTGCTGAAGCACCTCATATATCTCCAGAAATGAGAACTCCCTCTTACTCCATCTCCTTTGTTTTACCCAGAGGCTGCACCTGTGACAGAACTAATGCTTCTCTCCACGCTCAGGCAGGAGTTCTGCTGCCTGTTTGTCTATAACATTAATAGTGGCCCCAACTGATCAGGTGGGGGAGGACCCCGGGGAGAGGAGATTTAGTGCTGCTCCATAATTAGCCAGGAATGTAAGCCCCCTCCCCAGAGCTGCCTTCACCCGGTTCTCACGTTATCACTCCCTCTCACCCAGACCAGCTGCTCTGGTGATTAGATAGTTGTTTTTGGGGGAGGGAGGCTGAAGTCGTGACTAAAAGCCTAGAACTATGTGTTATTTTAAAAGGCATATTGGTGCAGTGAAATTGCTTGCAGGAAGAGAGAAAGGGGGAGGCAGCAGGGTGAGAAGGGAGCCCAGGGAGGCGGCGGGGTGTGTGCTTGATGCCCACAAATGAGCAGGAAGAAAAAGGGTTCAGTTCCTGCAAGAAGGAGGATGACAGCGTTTCATCACCCCCTCCTCAACCCACAGGGAAGACGGATAACCATCCCTGCTGCTCAGCTCTGGAGCAGGCTGAGATTGCTGAAAGATGAGAAAAGGCAGGAGAGGAGAGGAGAGGAGAGGAGAGGAGAGGAGAGGAGAGGAGAGGAGAGGAGAGGAGAGGAGAGGAGAATCCAGGACCTCAGCTCTTCCCCTTCCTAACTGTGACCCAGAGGAGGAGCTGCTCCCTTAGTGCCCCACAGTGTGGGAGCCAGCTGAGAGCAGGAGCCCATCCCAGCGCTGCCGAACCCAGGAGCTGTTGGGACGGTGCGTGCCAGCTCTGGACATCCAGGTGCTTTCTTCTCTTCGAGTCCACCTCCCCCAGCCCCTGAGGAGGATGTGAGCAGCGTGTTCAGAGCCAGGCAGCAGCACAGGGGTCACATCCCTGCCCGGGCACAGAGCTGGGCACCTGCACCCTCCCCTCCCCAGCCAGGGCTCACGTCCTGCTTCCCTGGGCACAGCTCTGAGACAGTGACCTTTCCAAATGCACCCTGTCATACAGAAACTGTCCTTCTGCCCTTCCAAAACTGCTGAAGCCTGAGGCTTGTGCTCACTCCCGGCTCAGTGACGGGGTCAGAATTTGACGTGTCCAGGAACATCGAGGTTAGAAAGGCAACTGCTGCACTCCTGTCTACCTTTCCAGTGAGGCACATATCAGCTTCTTTGTATTTTGGCTGTACAATGTATATTTGAAGGTTTCTCAATGCTTTATCACCTTCCCTCATCCTTTGAGCCAGTACCTGGATTTACAGGTGGAAAAAATAAAAAATGGTTGGATGTATTTGAAAGAAGCTATCTTCAAAACATCTGAAATAAGTCTTTCATAACAGTGGCATAAACTGATATTATGATGGTCAGAAGTGTGATTGAGATTGTTGGAGCTCATCTGTGATGAAAGGTACAAAGAACTCAACTAACAGGGGATTTACATCTGCGAGGTCAGAAACTCTGGCAGTGCTGTGTGCATGCACCCAAAATGCCAAAATGCTCAGCAGGCAGGTCCCAGGGACAGAAAGAGAAGCAGACAGGGTGGATGAGGCTGTGGTGTGGCTGCTGCAGGCACCTGCCCTCGAAGGGCTCACCTGGCCCGTGACAGAGATGAGGGCAGCACGTGCTGGCTGGGGGCAACCGGAAGGGAAAAGAACCAACTTCCATTGCAGTCTCTCTCCTCGGTATTCCAGCTCAGCTGACTGACATGCAAATTAGTTTAATTATTTCTTCTTCTAAAATAAATTATATTTTGCAGTGGCTGCAATATGTTGTGTCAGGCAAAATTACATTCAATATTTTTAAACTAATTGATGTCAGCCTTGAGAAAACCTGATTGACAGCAGAGAGAAAACTAGGCTGCTACCTAAACGCTTCCCTAAATTAAAATTAAACATGCCGTTTTTCTGCATTTCCTTCAGGAGTTGGAATGCTATTAATCTGAAAAGACTGAGGAAAGAGACATGGAAAACACACAGAACAAGAGGGAGATGCTGGGAGCACAGCCGTGCAGCATGGGAGCTCCAGGCTGGTGACTGGCAGCTGCCTTTGCCAACATGGGAGGAATTATTTCAGAGCCACTGGAGCTGCAGTGCGTGGGGGACAGAGCTGTGCCCAGTGCTTCCACACTGCTGCATCTGTGGCACAGCCACCAGCGTGGCTCAGGGCTCAGCCAGACACCCTGCCCAGGTGCTGTGCAGCAGAACAGGCAGCACTGGGACAGGGATGGCAGGGATGGGACAGGCAGTGCCAGGATTCTGGAGCAGGAGATGGTCTCAGTCCCGCTGCACAGCAACCCTCAGGCCAAGAGTTAAATGCTTCAGGGGAATCTTCATCCTCATCCCAGAGTATTTCCTTATTTAATTAATCATGTAAGTAAGTAATCTCAACAGGACAATATTCTCCTCTTCAACATTCAGATGCAAAACACCAATTTGGCCTCTCCCTGAGCTGCAGACAGCTGAGTGCTCACAGGACTGACACTGAGCAGCTCTGGGCAATGCTGTAGCTCTGCAGCAGCTCCCAGGGATGGGAAGGGATTGACAGTGCTTGGTCACCCCTGCTGTGGCAGGAGAGGAGGGGACTTGTGGCTTCTGCTGTGCCAGGATCCAGCCAGACCCTCACACAATCTCACAATAAAACACTTTGCATTTTTACACACAAACATCTCCTGTGGAGCTCCAAATCCAGCAAATGCCATTTGCCCCCCTCCCCACATACAGCCCAAAGTGCTCAGCAGCTTCTCTGGGTCTGAGGGGAGCCCAGGGGACCCTGGGCAGGCACATGCAGCTGCAGCACCTGGAGCAGCCCAGCTCAGGGACACTGCTGGGCACAGCATCCAATCTGCTCTTCTGTGTCGAGACCAAATTGGTACAATACTGAATTCAAAATTTTTACATTAGTAAGGAAGTCAGAAGAGGCAGGAGTGGAATTCTTTTCCTCACTATCTCAGCAAATTGGGAGAAGAAAATGCAGAGCAGAAGGCTGGGATGTGCCACTCTGCTCTCTAGCCCTGATGTCACGGCGCTGGGGCACAGGGTGGGTTTGGAGCTGTTGTGCAGCTCCTGCCTGCAAACCAGAGTGCTGCTGCCAAGGACAGAGCAGGGCATGCCAGGGGTGTGACTTGTCTGACAGGTGGCTGTATCAGAGGCTGGAGCTGAAAACGTGGTCCCCAGCTGAGGGGAAGCAAAGTGGAAGCAGCAGTTAAGCCAAGTAACATAAATGGCTCTCACCTCTCCTGAGTCCTGCCCAAACTCAGCAGCATGAGAGTCATTAAATTGCATCCAAACACAATGCTCTGATTAAAGCCAGTCTCCAGCAGGAAGATTTATCATCTCAATTACCAGCAGTGGACACAGCAGTCAAGGCCTCATCATTTTACATGAGCAAAGAGGAAAACAGGAAGAGAATCACTAATATTAGCCCAAGGAAGGTAAACAGCTTGCGAGGGAGATGAAGATTTATCTGTGGAAACGCTTGGCCTGGTCCCAGGCTAGATTAGCTGAACAGCCCCCATGCTTCCTGCTGGCTGCCATGCTGCAGGCCAGGCACTCTGCTGGTCCTGGCAGCTCCTGCTGGGGGACAGAGCTGCCCTTGCTCCTCCTGCACCACTGGGGAGCCCAGAGAGCTCATGGGCACAGCTGGGCACCTGCTGCAGCTTTTCTTACTGCTTCCAGGGCAAATACACCCTGATATCCACAGGCGGGAAATAACCTGGACATGGGCTCTGCAGCAGGAGCAGTGGGTGCCAGACAGGGCTCTCCAGAGAGGGGGCACAGCTCCTGTTTGGAGCTGCTGAGCCCCAAAAGCTGCCTGTGGGAACAAGGGTTGCCAGTGGGGCTGGGCAGTGGCACAGCCAGTGACACAGCCAGTGGGGCTCGTCAGTGACACTGATAGGGGCTGGCTGTCCTTCAGCCTGCAGGGGTCAAACCCTGCCCAGGACAGCCCTAACAGCAGAGCAGGAGGGCAGCTCAAGGAGGCCACAGGGATGCAATATCTTGTTGCAATGCACTCTAGGCCATGTTACTGGTGCCATAGGAACCAAGTGAGCCCTGGCACCACGGGAATTCAGTGGGTACAGTTTCCCACCAGCCCCAATGAGCTGAGGCACAATCCTGAGCAGCAGGACTCCCACTGGGTTTGTTCCATTCCTCCTGCCAAGTTTACATCTCACTGAGGACAGAGACTATGTGACCACTTGCCTCTGATGGAGTTGGTCATGTCCAGCCCTGTGGCACCCAGCTGCACCCCACCAGCCCATGGTGAGCACCACAGACACCCGTGTGCCAGGAACTGCTCTCCTGGGTGTGCTGCTACCCTGCATTCCCCACTCCCACTCCAGGGCTGATCCCACTGCACCAGGCACATCCTGACAGCTGCTGCACAGCCCTGCTCCCAAACCCCTCCATCACTCACAAGGCTGTACCTTTACAACTGCCCTTTCCACCAGAGGATCCAGACATAAATTGTACTTTAAATTCAATATCAGTCATTAATATTTCATGATTACAAAACGTTAAGGATAATGTCACTGGGAAGAATGTCTGGGCAGCTAAAACGGATGAGTCAGAGCTCACCATGGGAGAAGTCAGAGCACTGAAGAGTCTCCCTGGCTTTGAAGCAATCCAGCCTGACAGGCTTCCCTGCCAGAGGGGAGCTGCAGCATTTACTGACTTGTTCTGAAATCCTAGCCACAGCGTGTAAATATTGTCCTTCTGATTCTTGTCACCTCACGTTTGCTCTGGATGCTGAGTTGTGCTGCAGTGCTGCCATCCCCCCTCCCTGCAGAGCCTCCCCATGGAGCCCCAGCACAGGGCACAGCTGGGCTGCCCTCCCTGGGATGTACCCAGGCAGGGCTCACAACAGGGCCACAGCCAGGGAGAGCAGGGGTCACTGCCATCACCCAGCACAGAGCATTGGCACAGGGAGGGACTGGGATGCACCATGGAGGCACAGATATCCCTTCTGGGCACTGGGGGTCTGGCCAGGGCCACTGACCCTTCCTCTCCAGGGCTACAGGGCCTGTGCTCTCACCTGGCCAGAGTGGGTGCAGGATGTGACCTCTGGGACTCAAGCCAGGCCTTGACCTGGCTCCTTGAACATGAACACTCAAGAATGAGCAGAGAAACACTCAGAGCAAAGCCTGAGAAGGCTCCTGCCCACAGACAGACAGGCCTTGGCAGATGTCAGCCGGGGTGAGGAGGTGCTCTGCAGCCCCAGCAGCTCCCTGGTACCCACTGCAGGGCCCAGGCTACCCTGGTGACTTGCACCTCCAAAATATGGAAAACTCTGAAGAATATGGCTATGCCTTTCTGTTTCCCAGCATGGTGCCTGGAACATTCTGCTCCCACGGTCCCTTCCCACTGCTGCACCCCAGGATCTCCCATCCATTCCTTCTGTGCCAAGCCTGCACCACTCCAGGCATCCAGAGCTCCACTCCCAGGTGCAGATACAGTCTGTGAATCCCAAACTCTGAGAGCTCTGGCAGAAGCAAGGGCTGACAGTCCTGCAGTGCCACAGGGCTCCAGCTGAGGGGACATCCAATCCACCAGGGCACAGGACTGATGTGAGGGAGGCAGTGATGTGAGCACAGCCCCCCGGGAGCCCCCGGTGCTGCTCAGCAGGTGTGAGTGCAGGCAGCAAGCTGTGCAGGGATGACTGGCAGGGATGGCGCAGAGATAACACAAATTTGATTAGTGTTCATCAAATATACTATTCGACCATGCTCCCTTATTAATGCAGAGTATTTTTAGGTTGTCTAGGGAGATGTCAGACTCAGTACTGCTGCATTTATTTTTCTTTTTTACTTCGGTGTTGATTAACACTCGCGTCTGGGCAGCACCCAGCTTCCTCCTCCTGCCCCCCACAGCATTCCTGCATCTCACCTGCCTCCATGGCCAGGACAGTGATGTTGTGCCACCCTGCTGTCTCCCGGTCCAGGACCTTTCCTGTGACAATTGCCCCTGTTTTGGCATCGATGTCGAAGATCCTCTCGGCGTCGGTGCTGCGGTCGATGGCGTACCTGGGACCAGGCAAAGGGAAATCATGAGCAGCTGGAGGTGCCCACCCTTACCAGCAGCCCCAGGGTACTGGGATCCAACACCACAGGCCCTGTGGCACTGCTCTCCTTGTCCTAGGTTGCAGCATGGTACAGGAAGGCCACATCTCTACCAGGCTGCAAGCCCAGAGCATTCAACTAAAATTAAAGTGTGGCTTTTGGTGGATAAAGTGGAGCTGTGCACGGACTTTGGACAAGGGGAAAAACCTGCTCTGATGGGAGTCTTATGGTTTGGATAGACAGAGCAATACACAAACTGTGGGCTGTAACTTCACCTGTGGCTCTGGGAAGCCTCAGTGCTGTAGGTCCAGGAAAAGCATGAACCAAAGTGAAGGTGGGCACCCCTGCTCGAGGAGCCCATCCCATCTGCTATCCTCTGTGCTGCTCCTGCCACTGCATCCTCAGGTGAGACACCCAGAGGGCAGACACAGGAGGCTGTCAGCCACAGCTGCAGACACCTCAACTGCAGCTGCAGTGGCACAAAGCACAGGCTCTGGGCTGACCATGTGTAACTGGGGCAGCAATCCTGGCAGCAGAGCAGTGGCAGCAGCCAGCATCCCCCCCAATCAACACAGCACAGCACACCAGCAGCCCCAGGATTTGCCCCATTTTGGGCTTCCTGTCCCACAGGGAACAGGCTGATGAGCTCCTCCAGCTCTGGCTGTGTCCAGCTGCTCAGCAGAGACCCATCACAGGCATCACTCTGCTCATTCTGCTGCCTCAGTGCTGCCCCAAACAGCCCCTCCGGAGGGTGGAACCCATGTAATCCCTGGGCCACCCCCAGAGAGCACAACTCCCACTTCTCCCCAAGGGCAGCCCCACAGCCCACGAGGAGTCAGACACCAGGTTTGGCCCTGAGCCTTCACCAGGACACCACAAATCCACGTCCCAGTGGTCTGTCCTGCATTTCCAGCCATTACACATGGAATGGAGCAAGCCAACAGTAAATCAGGGCACAATGAGGTGTGAGATCCTGAAGGAAAGGGCTGGAAGGGAAGTCTGATCCAGCTGAGGCTGCTGAGCACAGCCATAGCACAAATAACACAAACCAGCACTGCAATCAGAATTAGAAATCCAGAAGGCCTGCAAATCACAAACAATACAGCATAATGTTATTGTGTACAGCATCTTTCACACACACTGAATCCCAGAGTGCTTCACAGAATTAAATAATACAAGACAGCAAAGAGTACAAAGGATAAATTACCAAAAGCAGGGCTGTGAATAAATTAAAGCCTTCAGTCACATGTCCAACCACAGAAGGAAGATAAATGTAGAGACAAAGCAAACTGGAAAGCTGGTGAGGTGGGACTGAGAGGCCACAGTGGACAGGAGCAGAGCAGGACAGGCTCCAGGCTGGCAGCAGGTTCAGGACAGGGGAAGTGCTCCATGTGCTGCAGAGCAGTTTTCCAGCTGTGGGTGCATCACCCACATGGCTCACAGCCAAGGAACATCAGCTCACCTTCTTCATGACCCTGTGCTGCTCTGCCCCATGCCCTGGGATGGGACCAGCTGCAGATGGGAGTGCCTCTGGCAGAGCCCCTGCCCATCCACACAGCTCTGATGGAGCACACAAAAAGGCATTCCTACAGTTTAACATGTTTTACAGTACCAGATTACATTTCCTAGTTCTCTTCCTTTTAGACAGATGGGCAGATGAGAGAGTAAATACAACAGCACTTGCTTGTAGCCAAATAAAAACATTCAAAAGTCATTATCTAAATTCACTTGCACCCAGCCGCCACCTAGTACTTATGCAGCTGAATTTCTCCTGCCCCCTTGCATCTAGAGGTGATGGACATCTCCACACAAAGCCAGGTACAAGCTCATGTGTCTCAAAACCAGCTACCAGGGACTGCCTGCATTTTCTGCCCCAACTCCCAGCTGGCAGCAGAGCTTTTACAGGCACACAGCCAACTCCAAAAGGGACAGTGACACTGTCTTGGCATGTACTGCAGCCTCTCATCCACTCTGTTCACTCACTGCAAAGGAAAAGGAGAGGTATGGCCACTCTGAATTGTACAAATCAGTCCAACGTTCTGCTGGGAAGAGGAACAGAAACTGGGATGACAAGACCTGCTACCTTTCCAAGAGCATAACCAGTTCTACATAACTGCTTCCATTGTTCTCCCACACCCCCTGACCTCAAACATGTCCTGCCTTCCACTCCACTTTTTCATGCTGTTAAGTTCAAGATGGTACTTCACCCTCCCCATGGCTTCCCTGCCTCTCAGAGAAGCACATGCCTGTTTTAATCACACTTCTGTCTTAAACAGAGATATCTGCAAAAAAAAAAATCTACGCAGAAAAACCCAGTTAGTGATGGAGACACCCCCAAGCCTGGACACATCTGACAGAGGTGCCCAGCCAGAGGGCAGGAGGATGGCAGGGAGTGCTCAGGGTAATCCACTGGATCCTGTTCTTATGCCTCTCATAGCTTTGCTGCCGAGGATGCCCTGTCCCTTCTGCATGGTGTGTTTGGGACATGCTGCCTGTACCCCATGGCCAGGCACAAACCAAACCACAACTCTGATCCCTTTGGCACCACTGCCACAGAGAAATGTCACCTTCTCAGCATGCCCCAGAGAAGGAGACAGAGCCCAGCACACTGCCAGGGCAGGGCTGACTGTGCTGGCACTCACTGTGACTGTGCCAGTAGGAGGTGGCCAGTAGCTCTCTGCAGCTCCCACAGGCCATGGATGCTCTGGGCTGCTGTGGGAGCTGGGGACTGGGAGGGTGGCACAGGGATGCCCATCAAGCCACAGCCATAAGCTGCTCAGAGCTGCAGATCTCACAGCAGAGCTCACCTTCCAGCAGCTTCCACCTCACCCCATGCTGGAGTGAGCAGGGCTTTGCTGTGCTCACTCACATCATTTGTGCAACACAACCTTCACCACCAGCCTCTCCACCTCTACTCCAGCTTCATATTCACCCTTCCCACTGCAGTCCAACAGTGCTTCTCACCTGGGAAGAGGCAGCATTTAATCCCTCCTCCTCCAGGTGCTCAGAGTCAGGACCTGTGCTCATGTCTCCTGCAGCTGGCTGGTGCTCTGGAGCTGCAGTCCCCAGCTCTGATTGGGATGCAGACCTTGTACTCCATTTCCCTCTCTTCCTGCTGGCACTGCCTCTTGGTCTGGATGTTACAAGTGACTGTTTAATTTCGACAGCTTTCCCCGTGCTCATCTTTCCCATGAATGCGTTTCTCAAGCAGTTTGTTTCACTTTTCCCCTGAACACAACAAGAAGCACATTTTATGCCATGTGTTTTGTTAATAGGGTGCTTTTCAAACACTGCATGAAAAGCTTTTTGTTGTGTTTGTTTTTTCCTCCTCTCCCTTTTGTATTGAAGCAGGTTGTAGTTCTTGCTGTGCTGTTGGAGTCTATAAAATGCCCATGTCCAACACGTGTCTCCAGATTTTGTGAATGCCAAACAAGAATATCTCTGAGAACCTTAAATCCCAAGCAACATCTTCCCAGTGCTGATAAAGCCTGGAATGCACACAATCAGAGCACAGGCTCCCACTGCAGAGAGAGAAACAAAAGGCTCCCATACAAACAGCCTCACACACACAGACAGTCTATCACTGTATTACTTCATACAATGGCTCAGCTGAGAAAAACTGCACTGTGCCCAGAAAACACACAGCTAAAGCCAAAAAGCCAACTGGAAACTAATTTTTTTTTCTGAAAAGAAACAGTTCCAGTCTTTGATAGGGAAAAAACCCAGGGATGGAATAAAATAAAAAGAACTGGACTTTTAGGAGGGCATTTCCCACACTGGTACCACGGAGGGTTTTGTGCCCCACAGAGGGTTCATAGAGCTGCTTGGCCCTGCTGAGCTCAGCACAGCTCCCTGCTCAGGCACTGGTGTCACGGGGAGGGTGTGAGAGATGGGCCCATTCTCTGAGAGATGGGCTGATCTCCAGGGGCCTCCCACAGCCAAGGCAAGCAGCTGCCAGGGGCTCTGCAGGCAGCAGAGCGAGCTCTGTGCAGCTGCAGTGAGGCAGTGAGGAGGTGCCTCAGGGACACCCCTTCAACCCTCACATCTTTGTGACAGGTCACCGAGACCCAGTGCAGCTTGTGGGAAGGGATTTGTTCTCAAACCAAGTGGCCGCATCCTGTGGATCACCAGGAAGGCAGGGGAACATCAGCTGGAATGTGCCTCCAGCAGTTGCTTTGGGCAGTGCAGCAGGAGTCGCACAGCCTTGTTCCTGCTGGCCTGGGGCTGGAAACAAAAAGCCAAGGGCACCTCCCTTCCCGTTTGGCTAAAAATACCTCCTAAACCTCGTTACTGGCAGCCTGGTGTCAGCAGGACCTGGAAACCCTGACGGAGCTGATTTCTGCTCTGCTGTCTCTGGCAATCCTTGTTCTTTGCTGCCTCAAGGGGAGAGCGCATCTCGCTGTGACAGAAGTGGTGGCTGTCCCCTGCTCACAGGCAGAGCCAGCACACAGACCTGAGTCCGGAGAGCAGCCCAGCCCTGCCTCTGCTCCCCGATGAGGAGCAGAAGTTAAAGGGATCCACTGAACTGCAGCATCTTCAAAGGGCTCATACCAACTTCAAGGCACCGAGGATCAAATGCTGGTCGTGCCGTCAGGACCAGGTGCTCTCTAATGTATCAGAGGTGAAGTACAAGTGCTGGCTTCTTGTGACTGAACTTCTGAGCAGCACACTTGAAACGAGAGGGGACTCAGTGCCTCTCCTGCTGACAGGTTAGTGTCACATCCTGGTGCTGCAGGGTGCTGGCATTAATGTCTGTGCGCTGCTTTGAAGCTGTTAACAGCTGCCTACGCAGCAAAGTATTTTATTAAATTACCTGGCTAGCCAGAGGACAGGGAAGCAGGAGACATCCAACTCCACCTTCCTCTTGCATTGGTGCTGCATCAGCACGACCAACAGCAACCTGCAGCTCCACTTGGTACGTGTTAAATGTCTGTGAAGGCTCACCCTGCTGCACTGCCACTGCTCACGACAGCAGGGACTGCAGCACCAGGAGTGAAGGGATGGACAGGTCCCACAGGGCAGCAGGGGGGACACAGGATGAGCTACCTGCCTGGAGATAGCTGGAGGCAGGACACGCATTTGAATGCATCAGCCCTGACAAGGGAAAACACATGGCAATTCCCAAATGGCAATTCCCAAGCTGCAGCAGATGCCTGGGAGTCCTGTTGGCTGGGTCCTTGTGTCTGAGCAGGAGGCACTGCCTTGCCAGCACTGAGCTCACTGCAGGAGAGACTCCCAAAGCGAAGTTTGGGCTCTCACCATCTCGTTCCTGCCCAGTACTTGAATCTGCTTCTCTCTGGTCCAAGTCTCCAGTGCTTTCTGTACAGCATTAAGAGCTTCCCTTCACTGCTTTCTTTTGGTCTGTCTGCAAACAATGCAGCAAGCTCCACGGGGAAGCAGCACAAAGAACAAGAAAAAGCAAGAATAAGAATAGTTCTGTCCCCAAGGTCCCTTTTCTACAATTACAGATCAGAAAGTAAAATCTATGTTCTGCAGCACTGCTAGGAACAGCCAAGTGAAAAAGCACATGCACATGTGCATACACACAGGTATGTGGGCACACCACTCTCCTGCAGGGTGTGTGCTGACAGACACATGCTCAGGGGCAATAAAAAAAGAAATCAGACACATAGCCTGACTGGAGAGGGACTGAAGAGTCACAGGATGAGGTGAGCAGAGGTATGTTGAGAACACATTCAGCACTCAGCAGCCACTAGTGCAAGTGGTGCAGCACTCACATACACAGTTCCTGGCACACCAAGGCTGATTTCAGTCACATTCCCCCCAAAGTCAACTTTGAGCATCCAGCTTTGTGACACAGTACTCTCTGCTAGCTGCCAGGCATCTGTAGATGGCAGCTTTCCATGTGTAAATGCATTTCTGAGCTTTCTAATCATCACAGTCTTTGCATAAGGATCAGGAGATCCTCCTCACCCCACCATGGAACAGAAACCCACGGCTGCACAGCACTGAGCTCAGTGCCCCAAACAGGCACTGGGCGACATCACTGAATGCAGCCAGGTGCTGTAGCTGAGCCCTTGGTGGCCTGTCCCCCTCCAGCCCACATCCCCATCCCTGTCCCTCCCTGCAGGGCTGGCTCCCTGCAGAGCTCTCAGTCACAGCCACTGCTGCTCCCTGGAAGTGAGCGGCCCCGCCGGCACCTGGCACCAGAACACACATTTCAAGGAAATTTTCCACACGTTGAGGATGTTTTCTGAACACCAGATTTCCAACCCAACTGCTCGTGACTCAGGCCAGTTGGCAGGGCCAGAAGGCTGCTTTGTGCCTTAGGTAATAACAATTTAACAAGGTAACAATCTCTTTAGCCACAAATTAAATGGAAATGGGAAATGTCCTGTGCAGATAAGCTGCTGCCTGGATTATGTCCCCTGCCCAAATATAAACTCCTCTGATCTTTGATCCTACGCACACATGCACGCACACAGAGCTGGGCTGCAGCTCTGCACCTCCCAAGCCTCACCTCATTTCTCACCCTTCACCACCATCCTCCTGCCACTCCTGCTGTCAGGTACCACTGCAGATACCTTGCTGTCAGCAGCAAGGACACACAAGCATCACCCAGCCACCTTCCCTGGCACTCCCTTGAGCTCACAAAGCTGTCACCTGTCAGTGACGTATCTGCCACCTGAGACACTGCTGTGCACAGGCTACCACTCACCTGCCAGCTGCCTGTCCCATGACACACACACTGGCCACACATACAGCCCTTTCCACTTTCACCTGCACTCTCCCACCCTCTCTGCCCCAGCCACAAGCCCTCCCAGGCCAGGTGTCCTTGCAGGTGTCCCCATGCCCTGTGCTGGACTGGCTGATGTGAATTTGGGACGGTGCTTTACCGGACAGGGTGATTTGCTGTGTCTGGGTCCAGGGCAGTGACCACCCCCACAACAGAGCCCACGTGGGCATCCTCCTGCACCTCCAGCAGGTTGGAGGGGGGCCGGAACTCGGGGGGCTCGTCCACGTCCAGCACTGAGACCCTCACGATGGTCTGGTCCCGAAAGGTGCCCAGGTCCACGAACCGTGGGTCCACGAACTTGTTGAGGGCCTCCACCACCACAGTGTGCACTTTCTTTGACTCGTAGTCAAGAGGCTGGGGAAGAGGGAAGGAACAGGGTAAGCCACAGGCGGCCCAGGGAGCCCCTCTGCTGCCCCTTCCTTCACCAGAGACATTGGGGCAGCACTAGAGCCACTAAAGCCACCTGCTCCCAAGCAGTGCCTTTGTAACAGCCTGGGGGCTTCTGCTTTGCCCCTCTGCCAGCAGCACCCACACCAAGGGGGCAGGAGGAAGCAGAAGCCTCCATCCCACTCCCCTCAGGGCCTCCAACAGGGTGCACAGGCTGTGAGCAGCCAGGATTCTCTGGGAAGACAGCACAGTGTGTGCTGCACATGAGCGAGTTTTCATCATTAATCACCCTGCTCTTATTTCTACAGGGGAGGCAAGCTGCATACAGTGGCCTTGAAGAACAATCATTCTTTCCTGCCTGCACCAAGTATTTGCTTGATTGTTTTTGCCACCAAAAGCAGATACAGTTAAAGTGCTGCTGGTCAGGTACAGGAATTAGGTAGGCATTTTTCTCCTCTAACAGGTGCTATCAATAACAGCTGTAAGCATTCCTCCCTGTAGTCCTATGCATGGTGTCTCCTCTGCACAGCTCACTGCTTCACTGCCAGCCCCAAGCCACCCTGGGGGGCTCCAGCAAGCACTCTGTGCTGCTCCTTTTCAGCATTTCCTCCCAGACACAGCCCTGTGCTTTGCCATGCAGGCAGAGCAGAGACAGGTCTCTCCCTGCATCAGCAGGCACAAAAATGCAGCTGCTACTGCTGGAGCAGCACTCAGAGCATTTTCTTCAACTCACATTCAACAGCAGCAGTCCCCAAAGGAAACAGTCCTCCTAGGGGGCTGTGCCCTCCCTAGTCAATCACCACTCTCACCTTCTGCACTGTGATGACAGCCTCTTGGGTATTGCTGTCCGTGGTGACTTTGAACATCTCCACCCCTTCCTCATCCTTCACTTGGTATGTCATGTCCGTGTTCTCCCCGACGTCAGAGTCTTCTGCCTTCACCCTCCCGATGGCAGTGCCCACGGGGGCCGTCTCCACAATGCTGAACTGATACATCTCTGCAGGAGAAATGGGCACCAAGGTCACTGCTCCTGCCTCTGAACTGCCCCCACCCTCCACACACTTCCCTGGGGCACCTTTGGGCTGGGAGGGCTGCTCAAACCCCACCGTGCCCACAGTCCAGAATGCCCCAAGAGAAGAAGTAAATACAGCCAAAAACAAGGCTGAGGGAAGATAATTGGGGAGCACTGACATTGCAGGTGCTGTGTGAAGTAAGGGCTGATTTCTCTGCGTGGACACTGCCCTGCAATCAGCGCTCTCTGATTCCTTGCAAAGATTCTTTTGCAATTTCTGATTTCTGGGAGATGCAGTCCAAGAGCTGAGCCTCCCCTAGCTGCAGCCCCTTCCCTGCCCTGCCAGCCTTGAGATGCTAGAGAGCACTGCAGAGCCCTCACAGCCCACCCCTCACAGCAGCATCACCCTGCACCCTGCACCCATCACCAGATCAGACACCAGCACCAGCCACAGGCCACTGGCAGCAGGTTGGAACACAGAGCTGTGCTGTGGCAAGGCTGCTGTCCCTGAGCAGTGTCACTGTCCTCACACTGGGCAAGGGTGTGACAAGGTCTCACACAGCAGCCAGGAGGGGCCAGGCCAGCAGCCACGTTCTGGTCCCAGCTCCCAGGGGACAGCAGCATGGTGGACCTTGCTGGCTTCCAGCTGCTTGGAAGGGCTCAGGAAAAGGACGGCCCTGCTTTCCTACTGCACAAGTCATGTGTGCTTCCAGGCCCTGCACTGGGGCAGGGATCTGGCACCCAGGCAGGGACACCTCCAGACCCAGGAGCTGCGTGTGCCATGGTCCCTGGTTATTGTCACCCTGGAGTGGCCAGGCTGGCTCAGCCTCAGGTTCCACCCCAGCACCCACAGGAGCCAGGACATGCCCCAGTGCCCCCCCGGGCAGCAGCACTCACTCTGAGGGAAGCGTGGCGGGTTGTCGTTGACATCAGTGACCACGATGGTGACGGTGGTGGATCCTGAGAGCCCCCCCAGCTGCCCTGCCATGTCTGTGGCACGGATCACCACCTCGTAGCGGTCCTGCGTCTCGCGGTCCAGGTCTGCCACGGCCGTGCGGATCACACCTGCAAACAGCAGCACACGAGCACAGAGCTGTCACAGGGCAGTCACAGAGCCACACACAGCCTGGGGCTGGAAGGGCTTGCTGGAGATTGCTTTGGACAAGATCCAGACCTGGATCAGCTGGATTTCCCTCTCCACACGGGGCAGATGCTCCAGTATTGCACCAACCTTCACAGCCCTTCCCTGGGCTCACTCTGGTATCCCACAGAATCACATCTGGTGTCAGGCACAGCACCTGCATCTCACCAGTGCATAGAAGAAGGCACTGTCACCTCCCTTCACACTGTCCCCAGCCCCAGCCCTGGTGCTGCTGGCCAGCTCTGCTGCAGGAACACACTGCTGGCCACAGACAGTGCCTGCTGAACCCCTCTGCAAGAGATCATGTCAGCAAAAGCCAACTAAGGGGAGAGAAGGGCACTGAGGGGGAGAAGAACAAGCCCAGGAGGTTGTCAGCCAGCCAGAAACATCCCAAAATTCCTCCTGAAGCCCAGGGATGGCCACAGGCCCAACCTGCTCCCAGCAAGTCTCCTCATGAAGCGTGAAAGAGTCCCAAGTGCTGCTTTTCCTGTGGGCTATTGCAGCTCCCACTGGGTTAAACCCTGGCACAGAGGAGGTTTGTGCTTTTCCTCCAGGGTGACTGGGAGCTGGGTGGAAGATCTGTGGAGGTCAGAGGGGGCAGGAGTCACAGGAAGAGAGGACTCATCCTCACCCCCACCCAAATGCGGGGGCTGTGCTGGGGCCAGCCTGAGGTCTGCTCTGTAAAAACCCAGGCTGAGTCACAAAACTCCTCTGGCACACATCTGCAACAGCCCACTTGTCCTGATCTGCTGAGCAGGAGCCAGGCTTGCTGCAGCACCCCTTACAGAACAGGGGTGCCCCTGCCCAGGCTCCATCTACAACGTGCCATGGCCTGGGCACATCTCAGGGGGAATTGTGTGATTTGGAGAATGGAGGTGTGGGCAGCACATTTCTAAAAGTCCGTCTGCACAAAATCCCTTATTTACAAGTGTCCTTCTAAGTTAAGGAGACCAGAGGCAACAAAACACATGCTCTGTGTCAGAGAATGCACTGGAGCTTAACAAAATGAATGGTGTGGTAGTACTTCTTACAAAAGTAACTCTCTTAAAACCTGTGTTTATAGGTCTCCAGTATTCATCTGGGATTGGGGAAATGGCCAGGACTAAAATATAAAGGAATGTAAAGCAAGAAACAAAGAGCAGTAAAAGCCTGAAAACTCTGTGCATGGCAGAAATTATCTGTCACCCACGACTGTTTCATTTAAATGGAAACAAAGTAGGGGAAAAAAAATTGAGGATGAAAGAAAGAAAGAAAAGACCCTGGTCTGAAGTGGCAGTAGAGTCAGGAAGGAAGGAGTGCTACATGGATACAAGGTCATCAGCACCACATTCCAGTCCCACTGTACCAGCAGCAGCCCATAATAGACAGGAATCATCTCAAAATCCCTTCCAGCTCAGTTCTTTAACATTCCCACAGATTTAGACATTGGTTTATGTTTTTGTAAATCCTCTCTCTTCTAGCGTTTTCTGTTTAACTATCAGCTTTACCTCCTCCTACTGTGAACTGCAAATTCATCTCTGCTTTGTTTCACCACTAATCCTGCCTGGTGCTAGGGACAGACTGGAGGAGGCTGCTGGAATGGGTCCCCAGTGAGAGGTCTGACCCAGGGGGAACAGATCACGGGATGAATCTCTCTCTGACGGGAGCTCCCCTCTTGCTGAACAAACAGCAGAGAACCATCCAGTGGTCTGAGCACCTTGCAATCCATTTGCTGATGTGCAGCACATCGAGCAGTGCTGGAGCATCAAAGGTCCAAGCAGAGGGGAAGCTGAGTTCCAGCAGGCTGCAAGGAGCCAAGGTATGGTACAGGGATAGACCCCAAGGCTACCGGGTATCTTTAATCCACAGCCAGCAGGTTTCCAGTTTCCCCATCCATGTGTCTGCTGTGGCCTTGGGCACCTCCAGACCAGGGCTCACACCATGGAGCCACTGGTGCTGTGGCCCAAGGGCAGCCAGAAATGCCACCGAGCTGGGAGGATGAAATTCCTCCCCCTCGCCCTTTGCATGACATTACAGGTGCAGGCAAAACTGTTCAGGAGACATTTATCACTCCTTCCTTTGTGAAACTAGCAATTATCCCAATGATTAGCATTGTTAGGATTTATTATAAAGACATAACCACCATTTCAGATCGTTGCCATTCTCCAGCTCTCATGGGTGGGCACAATTATCACCCAGCCTCCCTTGTCCCTCTGTCACTTCAGGTTCTGTAATTACCTGGACTGTCCTGCCTTCAGCCCCAGAGATAAGGGAGCAGGTCTGAACTCAGATCAGGTAGGACTGTTAATCACTGCAGAAACAAACCCTTGGTAGTGGCTGCACCACGAGGATATCCTGATCCAACACAGAGGTTGTAAACCTCCCCGTCGATACGGACTCTCAGAGGAGATTGTGCTGTTATCCCTGGGGTAGCTTGGGCCACTGATCAATTGTATTGGGTCTGGGTGCTATTAGCACCTTGAGGGGCTGCTCTCAGTCTAGAGGTATGGTGTAATTTTTGTAGGTTTTGTTTTACTCCAAGGTTGCCCCAATTGAAAAACACAGACCAGTGGCTTATGAGTCAGTGAAGCCAGGATAGGCACTATTATCATCCAGCCTCCCTTGTCCCTCTGTCACTTCAGGTTCTGTAATTACCTGGACCCTCCTGCCTTCAGCCCCACAGATAAGGGAGCAGGTGATTACCCTGTGATGGGGCCCAGGGTGTGCTTTGACCCCCTCATTCACCTGCTGTGCTCAGAGGGAGCCGTTCAGACCCTCACACAGAGAGGCAGAGGGGATGCAGAAAATGAGGGAAGGACCCATCCCAGCATGGATGGCACCCTCCCACATGGGCCAGCCCTGCACAAAGCCCCAGGCTCAGGGGCCAGCCCAGCTGCTCGTGCTGACAGGCCTCTCCTGCCACCCCACCGTGAATACAAAACTCTTATTTCTGGGCAAGCACTGTCTCATTGAAATTTAAGCAATTCTGTTAATTAACGGGGTCTGAAGCATTTTATAATGAAAATGATTCATGTCAGCACAATAGTGATGAATTGGGATGAGAGGGAAAAAGCTCATGCATTCACCAAGGCTGTAATGACTTAACTGAGCTGCTCGTAATGATATAGCTCATAATACGCCATGCAGGATGGGAGGAAAGTGCTCAGGCACTTCCCAGAACACCCCCAAGGTCACTCGTCCCAACAGGGAGCAAGTCCAGGCTGTTTGGCACATGCAGAGTGGGGCCAATGTCCCCAGCCAGCTCCTGTTCCTCCAGCAGCACAAGGCAGACAAAATCTCTGCCTGTGGTAGGGGTGGAGACTGATCAGAAACTCCCTCTCATGGTGTGGTGTGCCCAGTCCATCCTGGACAGGGGGGGATCTGCTGCAGACAGACTGCCAGACCTCCAGGAGCCCATCAGGACTGTCCCTGGGATGCTATTCCCAAATGGCATGGGCCACACCAGGCCACCAGCCCGAGTCAGGCTGGCTTTGTCTCCTAGGCTGAGGCACCTCTCACCATTTGCTAATGGCTGTGGCAGATCAGAGTCTCCACACGTGCTCCACATCCATGTGGCACTAAGGGCACTGCCTCAAACACTTACCAGCAGCAAACCCACATGGTCCCATCCTCCAGAGCCAAGACAGTCTCTGCTCCCAAAACCTGACCCCCAGGGACTCTGCAAAGAAGCTGCAAGGGATGGAGACACAGACCTTCCTTCCTCAAGGCTGTACAGAGAGCACAGAAAAGCCATTGCTATCATCTCCCAAGATTCACCTTCTTTCCAGCTGGAAAAACTGACAAACTTTGTCTTTCCCAGACACTGCTAACAAAGCAAGAACAACCTCGAGCTCAGACTTGTCTGCCCCATTCTTGTCACTATCTGTTACAGCTGAATAATGTGGACACGTGGTGGCATACCCTCTGGTACAAGGCACATGTGGCTTTCCAGCATGATCCAGATTAATCAGTATAATTACCAGGCAAGGGGACACTTAGAGCATCACATAAATACCACAGAATCTGCTCCAACAGCAGACTCTCTTCGGGTGACAAAAATAAAGCAGGACAAAGCACTCAGCAGGTAACTGCCTTCCAGGAATCCCATCATGAGGGGCTTTTCTCTGCTCTCAGGTGCCCCTAGGTCAGATGCCCACATCCTCAGACGCTGCCTGGACAAGGCACCTTCCAGCTGAGGGCAGGAGGAGCAACAAGCCAGAAAGTCGTGGAGTAACAAAGAGGGACCTATCCTGAGGAGGTTCCTGATCCATCACAGCTCAAAGCAGGCAGTCCTCAAAGGCAGATGAGATTACCCTGGGCCATAAAGAGTCAAGCTTTTAGTATCTCCAGGGATGGAAGTGCCACCATCATGGTGACAATTCTTGTCTTCCTGCCATTTGGGTCTCTTTAGTGTGCATGCCTGAGAAGAATCTGGGTCTGTCTCCTCTATTCCTCTCTCCTATTTAGCTGGATAAAGCAGATTAATTTCTGCCAGCAGCCTGGTCAGTCAGATCAAACCCATCTCTGCCTCAGGCCAGGAATGGCAAGGCACCTGCCAAACTGACTGCAATTCCTCACCTGTGCCCTCACCTGCCTGCAGGGACACAGAAATACCAATATATCTGCCAAGACCCCAGTCCTGCTGGAAGCACACATCCTGGAGGAGGTCAGCCCTTGCAGAAGAGGTCTTGGCTCCAAGAACCAGCACTTCAGTCTCCCTCCAGCCCCCATCCTGTCCTTCAGCTCAGCACAATTTGAGAGGCAGAAGCTAAAGGTGCTCTGAGCGAAATACAAGGCACAAAGGGTCAGGAGGTTCAGGAAGCACCTAACAAGGGCTTGTTCCAGGCTGCAATCAGCTTTGCCCATGCCAGTGCAGAGCCAGCACACTCACCCTTCCTTTGTCCCTTCTTTTAGCAGCTAAGTCCCTCACCACTCAACATTAATTCCCTCAGCACATTAGTAGATACACTTGAATTTCCTCAAGATGACCAAACATACAATTTGGTCCCAAATCAGCTGAAGTTCCTGCACAGTCTCAGAAAAATGCTGGTAATGTTCAATCTCACTGACAAGAGGAATCCCCTTAAATAGATGTGGCTTCTCTGCAGCCTCTTGTGCCTTACACTCAGCGTCCCTTGTGCCTGTGCAGAGCTCTGGTGGATAAGGGACAGGGATGGGGCACAGATCTGCATAACCTCTGGGCACACAGAACACACATCTGTGTTTCCAGGCACCAAGGAGCATTTTTAACAAACTGGCAAGAGCAGCAGAGAAACTGTTCTGCCTCCCACCACCCCATCACACACACTAACAGCTCAGTGTGCAGCAGGCTCCCAGCCCCAGCTCCTCTCCCAGCCCAGCCTCACTGCCCCAGGACCAGGCAGGTCTGTCTCCAAACACAGCAAGGCTGGCAGGTAGGGCTGAAATAACTGAGAACTGCACACAAATAACCATCAGCTTCATCCCAGCAGAGCAGCGCCTCCATTCTCCCTGGCATAAAAAGCTCCAAGCCCTTATGGCTCAGTCTTTAAATCAGGACACAGGCTCTAGAACTCAGGAGCTGGCTTAAGTCATCACAAATGCCAGACTGCATTTCAAATACCTTCTGAGTTCTGTCTTTTCCCTGCATTCAGCAGAGTGACAGATTTGAAGAACAACCTCTTCCTTACGGTAAAAAGCCAGGCTCCCATGCACAGCCCCAAACTGAAAAGCTGGCTTTTAAGGAGGCAAACATAATGAAACCTATGGTGTTCCATGCTGTGGTTGCTCTAAAACACTCAATATCCCTACAAAAGGATGAACAAGACTGCTGGAAACAGGGGCAGCAGGCTGTGGGGTGTTGAGCTGCTTCAGGCTCCCTCCCAAGGAAGGGATCACAGGCAGCAGTGAGTTTCCAGCCACACTGCCCAGGGATGAGAAAGGGCACTGCAAAGGACAGGGGAACAGACATGAGCTGCCTGCCAAAAGAGAGATTTGCCCCTATAAAGGTGAATAATCTGCAGTGGTACAGAGAATACAGGGTGATATAAAGCAGCATGAAAACACAGCCCGTGGATTTAAATGCACAAATTTCTCCTCTCATGTAAATGCACTCAGAGTGCCCACACTCAGGTGCACATCTCCATATTGGAAAAGAATAAGCTTGAAAGATCTTGTTGAGGATGGGATTCCTGGAGCTGCCACTAAACCTCCCACCCTGTGTAACTTTGGGAGAGCTGGGCTCGTGGCCCAGCAGCAGCGAGGGGGATTCTGCTGCCAGATCAGTGCTCTCACCCAGAGCCAACACCCAGCAGAGCAGCAGAAGAGGCTGTTTCCCCCTGGAAGCAGCAGGGCAGAGCTGTGTGCTGGTGGCTGTGAGAGCACAGCCTCCTGAGCAGATCAGAGCAGCCACAGCACGGGCACTGCTGCTCACCTGCTGCAAGGAGCAAAGATTGCCCGCACCCTGTCTGAGAGAGGAAGGCAGCACAAAGCTCACAAAGCTTAATGCCTGCAGGCTCTTGCAACAAGCCACGGGGATATTCTTACAGCTGGCAAGAAAACCTTGCCTCAAAAGCTTATGCATATAAAGCTCCCCAGTCACACAAAAAGAAAGCCAGCCTTGACCTCCAGCACCCACAGGTGAAGTTCTTGAACCTGATTTGGTGTACACAACACAAGTTTCAGTCTGTGAAACTAATCTCAAAGCGTGAGAGTGGCTGCTGTATATGAAAGAAAGAAAAGCTCGTGTGCATCAGCTGTGCTTTCTCTTCACCACCATTCAATTCTGGAATCTTCCTGCAGCATAAATGCCATCCTGCTGCTCCCACTATTCCAGTGGAGCCATTTAGATGCTTGTCTCCCTCCAAAGAGACCTGAGATGCTTCAGGCATTCAGGGCTTACTGAGTGGCAGGACTTGGCACAGCACAGCAGCCAGACAGTTTGGGTTTGCCTCTGAAAGGTCCATTGAATACAAAATCCCAGCTGAACACTACAGCTGGCAACATCCATGAACAGGAGACAGAGTTAGCTACACATGGTCCATGTTCATACACACAGGCATGGAAACCACTTTTGTACCTGTGCTATGAGGGAGGGTGTGAAAAGAGCACAAGGCAAGGGGGGAAGAGAGACCCTGTGCTGGAAGGAGTCAGGGCTGAGGTGGTGTGCAAGGCAGCACATGCATGCATGCACCTGCAAGAAACAGCAGAGAAGGAGGTCAAAAACCAAAAATGGAAATCAAATTGTTCTTCATTATCATATATTATAAGAAATGTAACATGCCAAGTTTTTATGGTTCTTTTTATGGCCATTAATAACAATGGTGGCTCTGAGAGCTGCGCTGCTGCTATGGATAATTAAATCTTATGCTCAGGGCAGAAGCTGGGCCACCTCGGGCAATCAGACTTGGATTCCCCTGTGCAGCATAAAGTCTTGTTCTAACAGAATGAGGGTGGGAGCAGGTTGGGGTGTGTTTGGATGGATATGATGACACTTTGTGCCCACACAGCACTGCAGCCACAACTTGAGGGGCTGATGGGCAGAGCTGCAGCCCTGCAGTGCTGGGGAGGCAGCTGCCACAGGCCATTTGCAGCTCAGAGACCCCAGAGTCAGCCCCAACACCTGTGTTAGCAGCCAGATATCCTGCAAGCAGACATGCTCAAGAGGGGCTGGAGTCTTCTGCAGACTGTCAGCAATTTTGCCTTTGTGAAACACAAGCAAGTAAAACAGTAAATCAACCCCCCAGTGTATGAAACAGCCAGCTTGAGAATTAAGATACAAGAAGTCAAGGAATCAAGAAGCTTGGATTCCCAGAGTGACATTAATTCTCACCGCAGTCCCACAGGGCACATTTTAGTTTATGCCTTAATACAGAGCATTAATGTGGCAGGAAGCTGAGCCTCTGCACGTCCTGGCTTGTGCATTGGCTCCCAGTGGTCCCTCTTCATTCCAGCAGCCAGACTTCACTCACACAAAGCTGTCTCACATTAGCAGGATCTCACGTGCACCTGAATTTTCAGTGGTTAGCCTATTGTTCCTACACACACAATATAAAACAAAGCAAATCTGGCAGAGAAGAGAGCCCAGGTGCAACAGCTCCTGAGCATGGGGTGGGTACAGCCCCAGCCTGCTGCTTGTGCCCTCTCCCCCCTGCACCAGCCTCAGTCCAGACAGAAGCACTTCCCAGCACAGGCCACAGTGTCAGGTGTGTGCAGGAGCTCCTAAACCCCCAAATCTGAGCATTCCTTCAGCAGCAGCAAGGCTGGTGGCAGAGCCAGGGCTGGGCCCAGCTTCCCCATGTGCACCAGAGCACGGTCAGGAGCTGGAGGGTTTCTTGCAGGTGCAGAGGCTCAGGCACACAGACCTTCTTCACACTTACACCAGCATCTCCAAACAAATCCCAGCCTTAGAAAACATCAGCACAGACACAGATCAGCCTGACAGAGACTTGGGACTCCAGCCCAGTTTATGCCACTGTGGTTCAGCAATAGGGTGGGGAGGACTTTGCTGTCCAGTTTTCCAGCACAAGCTGCAGCTCCTCAGCCTGCTTGTCCTTTGACAAATTTTCCTTAAACTACGGGCACTTTACTGCATGCTTTGTGCCTTAAATATCCCTTATTAGCATTTGAGTGTCTTCCCTTCTTAGCAAGCTTGTGAGGCTCTCATTAAGGGTAATGAGAGTCAAACTCCTGGGAGGCAAGGAGAATATATACCCCAACATCTCCTGGTTATGGTCTACTCTAACCAGTATGTCAGAGCATCATCTACAAGGGATTTATTACAGAGGCATTTTACAACAGGCTCTATTATAAGTTATTAAGGAATGGAGCAGCTTCTACTGTTCTTTCATTAAATATTAATAGAACATTTATAAACCTATCCTTAATTTAAAGTGTTACCTTTAATCAAAGCCCTGGTGATAATGATGCAGCCTTTGGTAAGGCCCCTTTGGTAATATTTAAACCTTCTCCAGTGAAGTCTTATGTGCCTGGGGGGGCATTCCTGCTCCAGGCAGAGAGGAGCTCTGGCCAGTGCAGGTGCAGATCAGGCACTCTGGGCATGCAGCTGCAGATCCTGCTGCAGGCAGGGCATGGAGCTGGGCAGCAGCTTCCTCTGCAACAGCCCTGCCAGCAGCATCCAGCACCACTGGCCATCAGGGAGGCACAGATGTGGCTCACAGCCATGTGGGATGTCGTGGCCCAGCCCAGCTGGGTGCTGCTCACCTGTTTTGCTGTCCACAGTGAAGTGCTGCTCCCCCTCCAGCACGCTGTAGACCACCCTGGCACTGCTCCCATAGGTGGGGTCGTCGGCATCAGAGGCCATCACCTGCATCACAGAGGTGCCTGCAGCAGGGACAAGGAAGGAAAGAGAAAGTCAGGCAGGAATTTAGAAGAGCAGCACAGACCTCATAGCAGGGCCCAACACTGATTGCTTGCACATGATGAGGGGAAGGAGAACAGCTGGGTGCAAATGCAGCATCACCTCCCCACCAACACCTGAGAGCCAGGACTCCAGACACAAATGCCTCTGGTGTGCTGCAGAGTGGCAGCAGGGACAGGATCCTGGAGCAGGACCTGCTCTCCAGGAGATCACTGCTCTGATCAGCTGGGAGCTTTCCCCCAGTAGCTTTCTGCTGGACCATCTGGGGACGTCATATGGGCACCTGCCCTTCCTGTCAGCACAGAGTGAGGGACATGGTCACCTCCAGCACAGAGGGACCACCCAGCTGGGGCCTGACTCACACTGCAGCTGCACACCTGCCCAGGGACAGCAGCCTGAGGAGAGGAGAGGCTTTCACTTGCCCAGACATAGCACCAGGTCCTCATGCTCTACACGTAGCAGGGCAGGAGGACTATAAATTGGATAAAAGTCCATCAAATGTCTGCAATTAAGTTATTGATTTTCAAGGCTGCCTCATTAAACTGGGTACTTCACTCCAACTGTCCCTGTGATGGCTTTAATTTGACATCATGTTCAATTTAACAAAAGCAGGACCCAGGACATGAAGGTGGGGGCAGGAGCAAAGGGGCTGAGATGCAGAGAGACAACAGAAGGGAGAAAGGAAGGGAAGCCTACCCCTGCCTAGAGACACCTTGAGAGAGGAGGTGGTGAGACCAAAGCACTGTGAGGACAGGCTAACATGTTCCATCTCCAGCACCAGACTCAGAGCATCCCTACCCAGAGGTCAAGCACTGGAGCAGTCAGACAAAAGCAGCCTCTGTTCCTCTGTTCCTGTGCCACAGGAGCAGATAAGGAGCTGAAACCATCCCTGGTGCCTTCCTCCTCCTTTGTCAGCAGACCACAAGCCTAGAGGCTCCAGGCAAGGCAGGGGTTTCCTGTACCAGCCCTGCCCAGACTCAGGCAGGAGATGAGGCAGCAGAGCACAGTGCTGCTGTGAGCAGCTGGGATGCACAGGCTCCCCCAGTCCAGTTCACTCGGATCTCCTGGAAAGGGTGCTCACTGAGGGAAACGAGCAGTTACCATGGTTGCTTTTCATTCTCCCTGGCAGCCTGCTCAGAGCTGCAGCTCTGCTGATAACAGGAGAATCCCCCTCATCAGTCTTCAGCAACAAGCTAGTTTGAGTCAACTTATTTATGCTTTGCTGTCTCCAGTGGAGTTATGGCGCATCCCTGCCAGGCACGTCCAGATTTTACACCACGGCAACACTGGCTCTCTGCCTGGCAAACAACTGTTCAAGAAATACTATTGCTGCATTTCCTCCTCCTCTCCCTGCCATAACACAGCTCCTTCAGGCAGGTATGAGCCAAGGCACATCACTCCCACACCAGCCCTGCACATTCCCCCGGGCAGCCTGGCGTGCTCCCTTGGGAAGCTTCTGATCAGAAAGCAAAAACAGGGACCAGAGAAGGGAGATGACACCAGGGTCTCCAACATCCTTCTCCCAGCTGCAGGAGAGAAGCCTCCTAGGGATGCTGGAGGTGCCAAAGTCTGAGGATCACAGCAAGCAGTACCTGCCCATGGGAACAAGGGAGGGCACAGCCTGGCAGCAATCAGCTGAGAGCCCAGTGCCCACAGCAGCACCACTCCTGCCCCTGCAGCACAGGCAGACCCTGCTGGCTTTGCACAAACACCCCTCACCCCAAGAACCACTTCTTCCTGCTGAGGGTTAGGAGATTTAAACCTCACCCACAAGCCCATCAGTTTATTTCCCTCCCTTGCCCTGTACACCCTGTGTCAGGACTGCACATCTGCAGACAGAGCAGGTGCCCCAAGCCTCCTGCTCCAGCCTGTTTGTGCAGTCATCCCAAGGCAGGGATCAGGAGAGGCAGACTGGCCACGAAACGTTTGCACCAGACTCTGCATCTCAAGATGCATTCATTCAATTGCACAACTCACCTCCTAATCCATCCCTGTCAGGCACAGCTGAACTCCCTGTGTTCCAGAATTTACCTGGATGCTGCCAAGCTGCAGAGTCTGAAGAGAAGGCAGGATCTGTGCCCACCCAGAGCATGGTTTGTGTCACCATTCCAAGCCATGCTTGGACAGGTGAGGTGGGCTGCTGCTCTCAGGTTTCCTGTGCCACTGAAAGCTCCTGGCCCACAGCTGCTGGGCACTCCCAAGAACTGGAAAAACAGGGCAGCAGCTCCAGCTCCAGGTGCCAGGGGAGAGCCCCATGTTTGGGACCAGAGTTTTCTGCTCAAGGGCAAGGGAAACCAAGCAGCATTGCAGCAAGACACCTTCACTCCGAGGCAGAGAGGGGCCACAGTGCCCTTGGGCTGCAGCCAGCAATGCCAGAGGTGATGAAGGCTCTGCCCTTCCCCACCTGCCTACACAGCATCTCATTAACAAAAGAGCAACATCAGCCAGGTAGGGAGCACTGACCCCTCTTTGTGCTTTGACTTCTTGTCTGCAAAGATGCCTGCTCAAGGTCACCTAAAGGGTATCAGGAATTTATTAGTTTAACTTTCCAGCACCCTCCCCTAACCTCCATTTATCCCTTTCCCACCCTTCCCTGTCCATGTGAAGAGCAGTGGCATTCAATTTCAGCTGAACCTGGTCCACTCCTTCCTGCAGAGACAAGCTTTCCCTGGCTCCCACCCTGCTCCAATATTAGTCCCTGCTCTCCAAGCACAGCACTGCCCACAGCAAGTACAGAATGTACAGCTTTTATTTAGTTTTCTGGCACATGCCTTAGCCATAAAAGATACACTAAATAAAATCTAAACATCCATCATGTACTCTATCACCCGCCTCCCATAGCCAAGGAGCCTGAGCCCATATCCAGAGAGATAATTAGACATGTAAAATGAGATAAGACCTTGGTTCCTCCTCCGACAAGCTCACTCCACAGATCAGAGGAAACCAACAATGTTACATAAAAATTAACGGGTCAGAATCCATCTCTAATTCTCCTTCTGCAACGGGGAGCTCTGGCACAGCAGATCAAACAAACCCTGATTTCCTCCAGAGGGAAGAGAGAGCAAGACCCTTACTTCCCTCAGCCTAGTTGGCTGTGGCTGCCAGCCATCCTCTGTCCCCATGGGCCCTTCTTGGGCTGTCCCCATTCCTCACCCTGAGCCATCCTGGAGACGTGCCAGGGCCAGCAGCCAGCCCTGAGCTCTGCCAGCAGCATCCCTGCTCTGCTGTGAGCAGGGTCAGCAGGGCAAGAGGGCTGCCCACACCCAGAGGTGCCCGTGATGCCCCACTGAGGTGTTTGTGGGGGTCCCCAGAATGAGATGAGAGATGAGAATTTGACTCCATGTTCTCAGAAGGTTGAGAATTATTATTATATTATATTATATTATATTATATTATATTTTTAATTATATTATATTTTTAATTATATTTTTAATTATATTATATTATAGTATATTAATTATATTGTATTGATTATATAAATTCTATTCTATTCTATTCTAGAATGCTATACTAAAACTGTACCAAAGAAAGAGAAGGATACAGACAGAAGGCTTAACAAGAATGAATAATAAAAACTCGTGACTGACTCAGAGAGTCCGACACAGCTGGCTGTGTTTGGTTATGAAATAAAAACAATTCACATGTTTGGATAAGCAATCTCCAAACATGGAGAAGCTGAGGCTTCCCACCTTCCCAGGAGAAGAAATCCTGGCGAAGGGATTTTTCAGAAAATACCACGGTGATATTTTCCCTGCAGGAGCTGTGTCTCTGCAGGGTCCCTCCCCTGAGGGCAGCCCCCAGAGCCACCCTGCCATGCTGAGTGCCCCCAGGGCTGCCAGGGCACAGCAGCCCAGCCCAGTGCCCTGCATGGCATGGATGGGCTCTGCAGGGCACCTCTGCAATGCCAATGCAGGCCTGTCCTGGCACCTGTGACTGCCTTCCCACAGGACCCAGAGCCTCTGGGGCCATCCCTGCATGAAAAGGCTGAGAGCTCCAGGCCACTTGCTATGCCACTCACTGCAAACACGTTCAGCTAAAAGAAATGTTGACAGGCAAACTCCAAACACATCCACGAGCAGAGAGGGCCTGCACTGAATCCACAAGGAGGTGCCTGGGACCTGTCACTCCCCCAGGGACTGAAGCACAGCCAGGCTCTGGGCAGGCAAAGAGGCAAATGAGGAGCAGGGAAAACCAGCACTTGCTAAACTTGGCTGTCTCTCCTCATGGCAGCATTCACTGTTCTGTGGTGAAACCAGGAGCCTCCAGATGCTCTCCAGACCAGCTCGGCGGCTCAGTTGCACCTGCAGAGAGCAGGGACAGTTTCTGGCCATGCTGAGAGCCCTTTCTGTGGGATCTGGCCAGCTCCAGGACAGCACTGGGGCACTCCAGCCCTGCAGAACATCAGGGGCCCTGCAAGGAGTGCTGTGTCATGCAAAGCCATGTTCCTTGGCCTGATGCCAGTGTGCAGCACTCCCATTCCAGGTGCCTGGGTGCCATGGGGCAGGAGGGAGTTTATAAACAATGCAATTTACAGCTTTTCTCTGGCCCCAAACACCTGCAGTGGCTGATGCACCCCAGACACATTCAGGCAGGACACCAGGGAAAAAAAGAACTGGAGTAGCTTCAAAATTACTGGAGCAGAAGTGAGTTTCTTGCAATCTTGTGAACATCCTGACTTGGTAGAAAGCCAGGCCCAGAGGAGATTCACTGCACAGCCCTGCTACCCCACAGGACAAGCCCCAGGGCAGTAACCAGGGTGCAATTGCTCCAATCTGCTACTCTGAAACTTCTTTTGGGGTATCTGGCCAGAGAAAGGCACTGCACAAAGCACCCCAGCCCCTGGCATGGAGCAGATAAACTGGTGCCATGGGGAGCAAACCACAGCATCCCATGGAGGGGCTGAGGTTGTGAGGGGCTGGATGAGATCCCCACCTGGGCAGGGCAGTGTTTGAGCCTGTCCTGTGACCCAGAGCACAGTGCAGGAGGGGAAGGACTCCTCTCACCAAGGATAGACAGACAGGGCAGCCCCAGCTCCCAGCAGCTTCCAGATACACAAAGTGACTTCAGCACTTTCCAGCAAGGCGGGTGTGTGGGGGAAATCCGATTGCCTGCAAGTGTTCTGGCTGTATGGTAAACAAAGTGTTTTTCTCTGCTTCCAGCACGGAGATTAAACAATTTCTTTTCACAATAATCACTTCTGCATTCAGCCAGCTTTGTGCTGGAGTCAGGGCTTGACCCCAAGTTTCTGTCTGTACAGCCAAATCGCCTCTAATCTGGACATGGTGCTACACAGAGAAATGAGAGTGGAATGCACCAAGGGAGGAAGGAGTGATGCTCTGATGGGAGCAGATGCCTTTCCTGGCATGCTCCTCACTCCAGACCCTGCCTGCTCCCCAGGGACCCCCCAAGTGAGCTCTGGGCTGCAACACCCACCCTGTGCCACCAGCAGAGCTGTCTGACAGGACAGTGTGCTGGATTTGGGCTCACGCCTCAGTGCAGCAGACAGCTGCTAAGCAGACCCCAGGGAGATCAGGAAAGGAGCCCAAAATACAGCTAATTTTAGCACCTTCTGTAACAGGGTGAAGCTCCTGCAGTTCCAAGGCAGTTGGCTGGGTCTCATCCTACATTCTCCTGAAGCTGCAGGTCTCTCCCTTTGGTGCTGGATTCTGCTCAACTCTGATGTTTTGGAGAGACCCACCCAAGGGGGTGGGTCTCTCAGAGAGGCTGAGCCTGGGGTGCCAGTACAGAGCAAGCTCTTGACCAGCAGCCTCTCCTTGAGGTGACAGGACAGCAGTGAACAGGATTTGCAGTTCAGGCCCCATCCTGCACACACACTGCTCCTTGGTTTGCACGCTGTGGGCACGGGGCAGTCAGTGAAAATACTCCCCAGGAGCCCCTGCCCTCCTCAGCCTGGGTGACTCCAGGGCATTGCCTCCAGCCCAGCTCCCTCTGGGGGCTGAGCAGGGACCTCTCCATCCCTCTGCAGATCCAGCTGCCCTCCCTGCCAGGCTGCAAACCTCCCACAGCAGCTGCACTGCTGCTCCTGATGCCCCAGGCCAGACCAGGTTTCTCCAGAAAAGCCAATTGTTGGTTTTGCAGCTGTTGCTACTGTGCCAAGGGAAGCCAGATAAAGTTATTGGGTCAGCTTCCATTTTGGATGTGCTTCTTCCAAGTGCTAGGTATCCCTGTGTAGGAAACAATGCCTTCTCCAGCCTGGCTCATAGGCTGGGGCTGGCTCCAGGCACCACCTCTGCCCTTTACAAATCCCTTATCCTCCTGACCATCCTGCATCTGCCACTATTGATCCATCAGATAACAACAGCAATCCTTTCTCTTTTCCCTCTGCAGAGGTTCACAATGAGTCTGGATGAGTTCATGGAAGACAGATACTAAAGCTGACTAAACCCCCAGAAACCACCCACAGCCAAAGAAATTTCCAAGCTGAAAACAGATGCTGGCTGGGAGAATATTAAGAGGAGCATCACATGTCCTGTGTGTGCTGCTCCTCCTTGCTAAGAATGCACTTTGACCAATGCCAAGGCAAGATCCTGGAACAAAGAGGCCTTTAGAGCACCCCCAGTCTCAGTCTCAGTACATACACACTTGCCCTGGCCCCAGCACAGAGCAAGGGCAGCTGTGCTGCAAAGCACTCCCAGTTACTCTGAGAGTTTGTGCACTTCTCTCATTTGTTATTCCCTCTTAGACACTAGGAAATCAAATGACTTTCCCTCCCAATTAGTACTCCTTCATTATGCAAATAATGTCCTTTGATCTGCTCCTGCTGTCACAGAGCGGATCTGACTGTATTTGGTTTATTCCTCTTCACGCCCCAGGAAGGCACCCACCTCTGGGAGCTGGGACTGTGCTCTTGGCAGGGAATGGAGAGAGCAGCTGAGAGCTGCCTTGACTGAGAACAAAAACCACCCAAGCACAAACCCCAGCGAGGTCTGGGAAGGCAAGACCACAGGAGGAGGAGGAAGAAGGGGTCACCCTTAACTCTTCAGGCTGGGATGGAGAGCAAAGGCTGCAGAGACAGGGAATGAGCAGCTCCAAGCTGGAGAGCAGCCCTGCCCTTGGAGTGGCCCCATCCCAGTCACCCAGTCACCCTTCTTTTTACTACATTTATCTACTACAGATGAATCCAGGAGGGTCTGAGAGCAGCTCAGCCACCAGCAGGTCCCCAGGCTTTGATCTTGATACACCAATAGCCAAACTAAGTTCGCCAGCCTTCAATCTCCAGCTTGGCCAACACCAAGCTGGGATCACCTCCATCCACACTCAGGAAAGCAGCAAGGCACACTCCCCAGTCACGCTCATGGAAATACCCCACAGCTCTAGGGAAGATGCTCTGTCCAGCTCAGACAGTAAATAATAATCAATACCAACCACAACAAAGCCACAAGCACAGCTGCACCTGGCCTTGATGCCACACAAGGAGCACTCCCACACAAAAAGGGCCTGGCAGGCTGAATATCCTGAACTTCACCTCCCTGGCCCAGCAGCTTCCCATATCCTGCACCCTCAGCCCTTCCTGCAGCATCTGGAGCTGAACTTCTCACACCAGGCCCATGAGCAGCCCCATCTACCTCCCAGCTGCTGAACCTCGGAGGGTTGAGCAGAAAGCTCCTTGCCAGCCTTGCCTGTTTATGCTTTCACAGGCTGTGCCCATCTTGTCCTTCGTGCTGCCTTTCCTGGCAAAGCCCAGGGAGAAGTGGGAAGGAGTTGGGCACTTGCAGCAGCAGCCTCCAGTGGGTCCCTCCAGCTCTGCACTCACCCTGCTGGGGCCCAGGCAGCAGCACCATGGGAGGATAATGTGTGAGGCCCTCCCTGGGCCATCTCCAGGGCCAGGCTGCTCTGGAGGAGCCTGTGCACTCGCCAGCATGGCCAGACTGCAGGCAGGTAGCCTGGAAAGCAGAGCAGGCTCCTGGCTCCAGCTCCCCTCTCCAAGCACACAGCTGGGAAATGCAGCCCACGCCCTTCACAACACTTCTCTTCACTTTTAACTTCCGAGTATTTTAATTTGCAGGAATCGCCTTCTTTCATGTTGTGAAACCGTGTTTCTTTCTCCCTCTGATCTCCAATTTCGCATAGAAACTGTCTCCTTTGATATGTCTTGTTCACATCAGTCTGATCAGGCAGCTCCATAATTGTTAGTGATTTTCAAAGAACTAGGATCCTTGTCTAATACCCAGAGTTGAGAATTCCTTGCTTTTTAAAATGTTGTTCAAGCAAATTAGATTAATTTAATTTCTTTCTTCCCTTTGGGAACAGGATGCCTCTTGCTTTGGTGCCCACATGCTGTCTTTCATTTCTCCAGGAGCACCCAGCTGTAGTTCAAGGGGTCACTCTGACTGAGGCAAGGATTTGCACAGGTAACTGGAAGCAGAAGAGCTTGTTCTGCATACATGAACAGAATCCGGGCAGCAGCAGCTCCTCTGGTGCAATTCCTGCACCTCTGTACCTGCTGCAGGCCACTCACCAGCTTTGCAATATGCTGCACATGAACCATAGAGAGCTGGAGCTCTGTCCCGAGGCAGTGCAGACTGAGCACCATGCCCTGCCCTCTGCAGCCAGGATACCTCTACAGCAGCACAGCAGGACCTGGTGGTTCCCCTGAGCTCCTCTCATGCCCCTGGTGCTCTCAGCTGTCCCCCTGCCCTGGGGGCTCTGCACTCCTGGCACTGTTGCTGTCCCTTGTGCTGTCTCAGCCCTCGCTGAGTGTTGGGGTCCTGCCTGATGTTCAATGCCAGCCTTTCACAAGCTGTCTGCCACCTGGACACAGCCTTTGGGAACAGTGATTTATGGTTCCTGCTCACAGCACATGCCAACACGCACAGGCATGTGCTGTAGGGGTAGGACAGAGCCCAAGGTGCACAGGGAATGCTGTGGCCTCAGGCAGCTCCAGCCATTCTCCCGGACTCCAGCTGGGCTCTGCAGCAGGGGAACCCAGCAGAAGTGAGGGCAGCAGTGCTGCAGCTCACACATCACCTCCCTGCACCCCTCCCAAAGCTTGGGTGGCCACAGTGCTGACTGTCCTGCTCTGCCATCCCAGGGGTTGGACTTGTGCAGCCTCATCATCATCAGCCTGGCCCTCAGAGCTTAGTGAGGCTGGTCACCAACACGCCTGAGAGGGGCCTGCTGCCAAGGGGATGGGCAGTAAAGGCTAACATGGGAAAGCCACACTTCTGTCACAGGGACATGAATTCCCCAGTCTCAGCCAGCAAGGCCTGGCCCCTCAGAGAAGGGCAGACCCAGCTGAGAAGGGGCTGGCAGTTCTGCATGGGGACACTCAAAGGGATGATGTCTGAGCAGCCCTGGGGCTCAGAAGACCAGTAAGGCAGCACACAGAGGATGGCCTGAGCTGGGGGAGAGGCACCACTCAGACCAACCTGAGCCACAGGCAGACTCTGTGAGCCCCTTGATTTATGAGGGTTTAGTCCAACCACCCAGCATGGTTGTGAGCCCCTTGATTTATGAGGGTTTAGTCCAACCACCCAGCATGGTTGTGAGCCCCTTGATTTGTGAGGGTTTAGTCCAACCAGGCAGCCTTCAGGAGGGAGGGGGCTGTGCAAAGCCAGAGTCAATGCACAGCAGGCAGCTGGCACCACCACGACCTGTCCCCAGAGCACGGCTTAGGGCTGAGACTGAGCGCTCAGCCAAAGGCTGGCAATCAGCTCAGAGGATTTATCCACTTGTTTTTCTTAAGCCACCTTATTTATTTTTCCCTTTTGGCTCCCTAGCTCTGCAATCCCTGAGATTTGCAAGTGCTTTTTGTGGGGTACAGCGGGCTCAAAGGAGTGACAAGAGAGAGGTGCAGCTTTCCCAGCCCATCCCAGAGCAGACCAAGGTGTGACAGGGGAGAGGTGCAGAGATCCCATCCCAGAGCAGACCAAGGTGTGACAGGAAGGAGGTGCAGCTTTCCCAGAGCAGACCTACCGACAGGGGACAGCTCGGCCACGCTGCCGATGTAGGGCCCCTCGAGGAAGCGCGGCTCGCTGTCGTTGATGTCCTGCACCTTGATGATGAACTCCGACTCTGGCTCCAGCAGCTGGTCCGTCTGTCTGTCCCGGGCCTGCGCCCGCAGCGTGTAGAAGGTTTTCTGCTCACGGTCCAGGCGCTCGGTGGCGTGGATGTCCCCTGTGATCTCATCGATGAGGAAGATGGTGCCTGCGCCCTCCCCGGAGATGGTGTACTTGATGGAGCCGTCTCCTTCATCCGAGTCCGAGTGGATCTGCCAGGGAAAGAGGGAGAGGGTGGGAGCAGGCTGGGGATGTGCTTGTACCCAACCCCAGCCACCTGCCCATGGTCCCTGTGTGATGCCCCTCTGCTCTTGTTGGACTGGACAGTGACAGAGAGCACGACCAGACAACTCCTGTTCGTTCACATGAAGGCCCAATAAATTAGAATTTCAGGCCTGTCTTTACAGCTCTGCAGATTACAGATTCTGCTAGTGCCCACTCCCACGACTCCTTTAATAAGGGGTTGTGAGATGATGGAAAAGCAAAGGACAACTCAACTGCACTCCAAAGAAAGAGGTTTCCCTATGGGCAAGGACCCAGGACTCTGGCAGCATGGGATCACCTCTCCCAAGCTGCACCATCAGCATCCCCTCCCTTCTACACAACCAAAAGTTTTTTCCCTTTAATTGCCCAAAGTCCATCCTCATCCACCTGCTTTGCCTCGGCCACAGCCACCCTCCATGATCTGGGCAGCTGGTGCTGACAAATCGCCCTGCTGGAGAGCTCACACACATGCTGCACCCCTCTGCTGGGTTTATGTTGCAGGGCAACAGGGGTCACAACATCCCATCATCAGGCCCAGAGCCCCACTTGGACAAAATCTGCAAAAGAGTGTGACAAATCGGCTCATGTCCAGGACTAAAAACAGACCCTGAGGAAGATGCCTTTGCAGGCAATCTCTGCTGCTTCATTTTTTAATTAAGACAATGTTTGGAATTAGGAAAAGAAAGGGTAAACAGCAGCTCCCTAAGGACCAGGAGCTGACTGGAATCCAGGCCAGATGTCCAGAGATAATTTTATTGGTGGCATTAAACTGAGTTATGAGGTTTTTACAATCCAGCCACTTATGAGAAATCTATTAACAGTAACTGGACAGGCAGAATGCATCTTGACAGGGAGCAGCATGGGCATTAATTGGGACAATCCATAATGGGACAGGCCCCCGGAAAGGTTTCATCAGCTGCTTTCATTTGTTTCCTACAATTTTTGCTTAGAATCAGCAAAGTCATGTCCCCCCTCCACAAAAAGAAAAAAGCCGTCCATTAATCGGCTAATGAAATATGAAAATGTTTATGGGCCATTCAATCTTCCAAACTGCAGTTCTATAATCCACCTTTCAGACATATAGCTCTACCAGCAAGAATTTATACCAGAGCTGCCTCTTTTTTTACGATGCCTTCATTATATTTGTCTTGTTAGATACAGTTTATGTATTTATTTCACAAGTGAGGGACCCACACGTTAGGCAATTCAGTGCATTTTGCACAACATTCACAAATTACTGCCCATGGTGACATATCTCTCAAGGCTTGCCTGGAAGGAGACCTTCACTCAGCTCACAAATAGAGCTGTGAGCACAGCAGAGTCTGGGACCACCGTGATGGCTTTGGCTGGAAATGTGCCCATGGGGTGGTCACCCCACCCTGGCCATCCAGTCCCCACCCTCCCCACTGGCTGGGGCAGAGCTTGCTGCCCTCTTCACTTTATCATCCTCTCCCAGCTCTCAGTGCTACTCCGTGAGCTTTTCAGAATGAAGGAGCACCAGGTCTGTACAGTGCAGGCAGCAGAAACCTGCATTTCCTGCTGAACACGGGGCTTATGATTAATAATTAGGCTAGAGATAAAGCATCCAGCACCACATTGAGCTCTCAGCACATCCTCTTCACATATTTGCTCATCACTGACTGCTTGGAGCAGGCACCAGCATCCCTGCAAACCGGAATGCTAGGAAGAAAAATGGAGCCTGGGCTCAAGGGGCTGCAGAGATTGATTTACAGGGGAAGATTAAAAGAGCTAAATCTGTGCTGCTTGGCTAAACAACAACTAATGGGGGAGGGCCGGATGGCAGACTACAGAAACACAAGGGGAGATGCCACAGAGCACATGGCAGGGATGTTCTCCCCTCCCTGTCACAGCAGGCAGGCTTGGGGAGCACCACACAGCCTCAGGGCTCCCTCCACCCCTGGACATGGCAGGACACTGATGTCACACAGCTCTGCTGAGCCCCAAGAGCACAGGGACCACCCAGCCCTGCCTGCAGCTCAGCCCCAAGCAAGGAGAGCAAAGTCTGGGACATCCAGAGGGAGGACAATAGGCTGATCAGTCCCATTTGTTAAACAGGAAAATTGTTTCCTTGTCCTAAAAGACTACAACCAGGATTCTTACCAAGCCATTAATTACATACTAATAATTAAATCAAAATTAAATATGAACAGAGGTGCACATTCCTTATTAAAAGCAATTAAACAGAAAGCACAGATACACAAATAAAAAATGGCTCTGGGGCTAGAAAAGAAAGAAAATCAAATAAAAACTAGCCCGTAATAAAGGCGCACTCTGTTTGCTCCAACTCATAAACCCCGAGTTCATCAATTTTCTTTAAATATTAGCAACTTAATTAAATCTGCTTTTTTCCCTTTAATCCTCTCCTCTATCTAAAATAGATCTGTCCACATGCAGAAGTTTGTAACTAGTGCTGACCCCATAATTCTATTTAAAAAACCCAAAGAAATCCACATCAAACTGACAGCAGCCTCAGGGGAAATTACAGTTCAGAAGAAGGATTAGCTAGAGAACCCAGATTTTATGGAAATGGTATCGGCCCTCCAGAAAGCACATGTAGGTGTGTGAGAGGCATCCACGGAGGGCAAGCCCCAGTGCAGGAAGGCTCTGGACCCACAGACTGTGCTAAGAGGGCTGGCACACTTCTGGGGACAAGGAGTGTCCCAGGCAAGCACTCCATGCTCTCCCAGCAGCAGGAAAAGCCTGGCCCTGCTGCAGGAAAAGCCTGGTCCTGCTGCTTCCAGCCCTGGGGATCCCAGGCAGAGCTGCTGCTGCTGGGAGCCAGGCGGGTGATGTGTTGGGTGATGTGGAAAGGGGCTGTAAAACGGGTGAGTTGTAGGTTTGGGTTCAGCTGGAGCAGAGGCAGAGCCAGGCCTGTGACAGGCCCTGTGCTGCTCCCAGGGGAGCCATGAATTAGCTGGGCCTGCTCCGAGGGCGGCGCAGGAGCGCGGCTTTGAATGTCTGCTGAAACGGACACAAATCACCACTGAAATCCCCGCTGGCCCCTAGCCAAGAAACCCATTTTCAAGCTCCTCCAGACTCACGCCCAGACGGCTGAGGCCATCAGACAGCCCTGCTCTACAAGCTCTTGGGCACTTTCCTTCGGGGTGCGCCCATGCCTCCAGCTCCAGTGTGCTCCTCTGACTGGTCCCAACAGCTAGCACTGCCTTCATCCATATACAAACAACCCATCTGCCTGATGTGAGGGGCAGCTGCTTCTCCAGAGCTCCCAGAAAGGGATAAAACCAGAAGCCCAAGGTGAAATGCTCCTTCAGCCTCAGGACACCAGGAGTGGAGGGAGCAGAGGTCCATGTCCAGCCTTCCCCGGAGGTCACACGCCAGGGAAGTGTGGTGAGCTCCCTCCTGCAGTCCCAGTCCTGTCCAGCACAGCACTGTCACCTGTCCCACAGAGACAGGGCTTCTTGCACCCACCCTCAGACACCATAAAAAGCCAGTATACAACTGTAGGAATGCAGATGTAAGTCTTGGTGTGTCCTGGGAGCACATTAACCTCCCCACCCCCAGCATGGACCAGGCTCCTGCCATCACAGTCCACAGAGTATTTCTCCAGCCAAGCCTCCATGAACAACCTTCACAAGGGCCCTCTCCCTGCTCAGCATTGCCAGCATGTCCACCCTGCCCCTGTCCCCGCCATGGAGACACCAGGCCAGCTTACCTTCCCCACATAGAGCGGCTCCGTGCCCGTGTACTCCTCCACCACAAAGAACTGGTTCCAGACCCAGCCACGCTTCACTCTCCCTCCGGCCAGCAGCGCAGGGTCCCCGGGCTCCCCAGGGCCCTGCCCCACTGTGTGCATGGCCCAGCAGCCCAGCTCCTGCATGGCACACAGCAGCAGCAGCATGGTGCACAGGCAGCCCTGCAGACCCTTCGCCATGGCACTCTAGGGGGCTGCATCAGCAGGAGCTTCTGGGTGTGCAGCCAGCATCCTTTAGGGAAAGGCAGGAGGAAAGTCCACACTAGGAGCTTCTGGACAGGCAGCCAGCATCCTTTAGGGAGAAGAAGGAGGAAAGTCCACACTAGGGGTGTGAGGCTGCCTGGTCAGTGCAGAGCATCCCTGTCCCTGCTGCATGCCGTGCCCTGTCCTGCCTGAGTCACATGTGGGACAAGAGGTGGCCCGGGCTGCCCGCTGCTGGCGTGGGAGCAGTCAGTGCTGGTGCCTGGCAGGCTGCTCCTGGGTTTGCAGAGGAGAGTGTGGCAGCTGGCATTTGTCCCTGGGGACAGAGCTGCAGGGCTCCGTGCTGGGCTGCCGTGGGTCTGGCTGGGCAGGGGGGTGATGCTCAGCCTGCTGCCCACCCTGCCTGCGGGCACACGGGGCACACACACCCGCTGCTGGCATTCACAGGAGAAGGAGGAGGAGGAAGCTCTTCCACAAAGCTTTTCACAGAGGAGTTCACAGGATGAGCTGCTGTGGCCAATGTCTGCCTGTCCTGTGGCAGTCTGGGACTATTGTGCAAGGGGTGTGGCAGGGCAGGTGTGTGTGCCACAGGTGCAGCTCACAAGGCCATTTGTAACTCCATCCCAGTGCCTGCTGAAGGGTCCTTGGGCCAGGTGATTCTGGTCACTTCCATTCTCTGCTGGTTCACGCAGGGAGGTGCAGGGCAGTCAGCAGCATCTCCAGGAGCCTGGAAAAAGCCAAAGTGTCAGAGCTGGTGTGAAAACACGGCCCAGTGTCCCCCTGTGCTGCTCCTGCTGCCTTGCTCAGTATCTCCCACCCTGCCCTGCCCCAGGTGCTCCACAGCCAGGCCAAATCCCACAGGTCCTGCCGAGCAGGAACACAACAGGGAGGGCTGCAGAGCTCCCAGCACTGCAGACATCTGCTCCAGCAGGGACTCAGAGACCAAGGATCCTGCTGACAAGGGCACCCCTCACCACATGGTCCTGGCTGTTGAGAGGAGTGAGGTGTGTGCCTGGAGGGAGGCACTGGTGCCCACCCACACTGCTGGGAGCTGTGCAGCAGCACTCCTGGCACAGCACAGGACCAGAGCACAGCAGGCAGACAAGGCTCACAGTGAGGGATACCAGCCCCTGAGCATGGGAGGTGCAGCCAGTGCAGACACTCCTGCAAGCTCCCCCTGCAGAACCTCTCTGCCATCTCACCTCTGCAGCCATGGGCAGCAGAATAGCATCTGTTCAAGAATCTGCCACCTGGCCGACTCTAAAGGTAACAGTTTGAAAAAGGGCTCTGGTGTAAGCTTCAAAACACCAAGGGCTGGGACACAAGACCTTCAGCCAAGGGTACTGGTATTGCATCCAGTGAGCACATGGAGAGAAGGAGCCTGATCAGGAGATGGGGATGCAGCATCCATCTCTCCCTGCACCAACACCCTGAGGTTCCACCAGAGCTCTGCAATGCCAGCCACAGCCTGATCTACTCATGAAACATGCACCAGCCTGCAGAATTCATCTCCTGTCAGCTGCTCCTCTGGAGGAGCAGAGGAGAGCAGAAAGAGGGTGAATGGAAAGGCAAATGATCCTGGGCTAGGTGTCCATCTACTCCCCACAGAAAGGGAACCAGGCTGTGCTTTGCACAGAGCCCTGCATGAATCTGAACAGTTCAGAGGAGGGACAGCTCCCACATATTTCTCCAGCCCTTTCCCTCACTTGCCATTCCCGTGTGACTCCACCAATGGGGCCATTTCCCAAACAGGGAATCTCTGCTGCACCCTTTCCTGTCTGTATTCACTTGTTGGACAAACACTTCCCTGAGAACCACAAAGCATCATTCTAAACTGCCTGCTCATGCTCACAAGTTGTGTGTCACACAGTGTGCACAAATCTATTCACCAAAAGGTCTCACACACATCCCACCCCATGCACAGCCAAGATCACTCACACACACTGGCTCCTTCTGTCTATTTCTGTCTCATTTGTGTGCACACACATTTCCTGCCCATGTACACACACTGTATTCCACTCACACATGCACATCAGCTGTCACATGTGCCAGCCCTGTGCACTTCATGCTCCAAGGAAAACAGGGTCTCCAGTGTATTTTTATGTTGGCAATCATGGTACAGAAGCAGTAACATTGCTGCCACCCCTCCTCTTTGCCAGCCCATTTATTATAAAGATATTTCACACCAGCCAGGTGAGTTGTTTGCAATGTGTCTTGCAGCCAGGCCTCCCCAAGCAGAAATGCTTCCCGTCCCTGCTCCCAAAGGGCAGCTGGTGAGGGTCCCTATCAAACCCCAGAGTATTTAACTCTGTACACCCAGGGGAGCAAGGTGTCCTGTAGGTGGGGGATGGACTGAGCCATTTCTTCCCACACAGAGGGTAAAGTAAATTCACAGAACAAATGCAGAGACTGGGGTCTGGAGCAACAGAGCTGGGGCTGCCCAACCCACAGCAGAGCAAGACACTCACAAAACCAGCACAAGTGCAAGTGTGCTTTATCACACTTACCTGGCTATATAGAAGATAAATACAGCCAGACATAGTGCACTGCTGTCACAAACAGCACCTCTCCCAACTCTCACACCCAGGAGAGCTCTGGTTATTTTGGAGTAGGTTACCCAGACAGTGAGACATGTCAATAAACTGAGCAGCAAAAGCTGAGCCAGAGCAAGAGTTTCAGGTCAGCAGCAAGGGCAAACAAACAGTAAGTGTGGGAAGAACACCCTGCCCAGCATTTCTGCCTGCCACTCTGCAGCACTTTTACAGGCAACACCTCTGGTTGCATCCAAAATCTGAGTACAAGGAGTTGTAGCTGGTAAACTCAACTGCCAGAAAGAGAATTTAGAAAAGAATCCATCTGCATGTGTTCTCAGGACAGCTATGTCAGCCAGATGCCTGGGGAGAAGCAGCCACCACCTGCTGAAGTCTCCCATTCTGCTCACCCAGCATCCTGCCCTTGCCATCCAGGAGCAGATCCAGCCACACTGATTTATTAAACCCTGCCAGAAGCCTGACAAAGCAGCAGTGCCAGTGCCAGGGTGCAGTTCTGCAACACTGAAGGCCTTCTGAACACATGGGGAGGCTGCAGGAAAGCCAGTCCACTGGAGCAAATCCTGGCACACAACTAACATCAGCATCCAGGGTGTCCAAGCGAGCTGGCACAAAGGCAGCACATTCCCAGAGCCTCCAGAACCCAGCACTGGGGCACACAGCTGGCAGAGAGCACCAGCACTGGCTCTGTGACAGCAGCAGGAGCCACCTTGATTCCCCTCATCACACCATCTCACACCTCGGTGACATCTGATTTCCTCCAGGACACAGGTACCCCAGGCACTCACTGCAGGCAGCCCTGAGCACACAGAAATGGCAGAAATGGACACTGGCCTTCTCTGTCAGCCTGACCAGAGTTACAGCACACCAGTGGAAGCAGCACAGTCCCAAACAGCATCAATAAACCAGTAACAAGAACAGCTTAAATGCACACACTAAGGCAAGGCAGGAGAGAGGAAGCGAGGGCAGAAGAAGATGCTGCAGTGGGCGAGCTCCACTTGAGCAGAGCTGCTCCCTGGCTGGCAGACAAGCTGGCCCACAGTTCCCAAGGCAACTTGTTCAGTCCTGTTGCATCTGAGCACTCCAGAGAGCAGATTCTGCCATGGAGAGGAGAGTCCTGCTGAGCACCCATGGGGCTGGGCTGCGTTGCTGTGGGAAACACAACCTCATGCACAGTCTCAGCTATTGCGCTGGGTTTATATTTCACAGATTCCTCATCTGAGCTGATGCAGTTTGCTGGTGTCACGTGCCCAAAGTTCAGCTGCTCTCAGCTGAGCTGTGTGCTGCTCTTCCTGTGGGCAGCAATGCAGGTGCTGTAACCAGAACTGCCTCATCCAGGTACCACACATCAAAGCCAACCACAGAACCTGTGCTGAACTCCAGTTCCCTGCACCACAAAATGCAGGCCCAGAGACACATCTGTAGCCCAGAGACACATTGCCACAAACCAGATCCTCCTTCTCCAGTGGCAAATTCTCAGCCTGTGTCTCTTCTGTGACAGCTTCAGGGTCACGTCTCTCCTCAGTGTGCAGAACCTTTCCAGCTGTCACATCACACACCTCTTACAGAAGCTGCAAAGCCAAAAGCCCCAAGTCCTACTCCTGCCCTTGCAGCAGCAGAAATGAAGACACACCAGAAGGTCCCATGCACAGGAACCAGGACTGTTTTCATCTTTTATGAAAAATCTTTTCTTTAGGATTTTTCCTCCTGAGAAGCTGAGAGGCCTCAGGAACAAAATGTAAACAATGATTATCTGCTGCTGTGGAATGCAACAAGTAGATTTTTGACTGACCCATGTTAGTTGTTTCTAATTAATGGCCAATCACAGCCCAGCTGGCTCGGACAGAGAGTCCAAGCCACAAGCCTTTGTTATCATTCTTTCTTTTTCTATTCTTAGCTAACCTTCTAATGAAATCCTTTCTTCTATTCTTTTCATACAGTTTTAATATAATATATATAATGAAATAATAAATCAAACCTTCTAAAACATAAAGTCAAATCCTCATCTCTTCCCTCATCCGAAGACCCCTGTGAACACGGTCACACAGCACTAGCACAGTGTTTATTTCCCTGTGTTGTTGAAACCTTTCACCAACAGCTGGAAGTGCCCCTTCCCCCTGCCCCACCTGAGCAGTGGGGCTGTAAATAATCATGGGAGCTGCTGCTGCAGCCAGCCCAGCCCACAGCAGCACACATGTTCCCACGTGGCAACGTGCCCAGCACACCACAGCAAGCAAGTTTCCACGCAGAGTGTGAAGCACCAGACTCTCAGACTGCCCCAGGCCCAGGGTGATGTCCCCTGTCCTGCTGCTCTGCCATCCCCACCTGCAATGATCAGCACAGCTCCCCCTGCCCTCCCCAGCAGAGCTCGTGCAGTTTGTTGGTGTGCATTTGGCACAGCTCTACTGTACATCATGTTGACAGTAGAAATTACATCCTGAGCTTATGTTTTACACTGTGCTCTGTCAGAACTCACCGCAGCCCAGTGATCAGGACAAATTGAATAGCATCCCGTCCATGTCAATATTTATTTCATTTTACAAATGCAGGCTGATGCAGGAGAAAGTAGGCAGGGGGAGGGGGCAGGCAATAGCACACCAGGGCAGCAGTGCCCAGCACACCACAGCCCTGCATTGCTGGCAGCAGCCCAGGGAGGACTGTCCCACCCAGAGGGAGGGAGCATCCCTGGGACCTCATGCACACAGCTCTGCTGGAAGGGCTGGCACACCAGTACTGCCCCTCTGACAAGCCCTAATAATTGGTAAAAAACACAGAATTGCCCACCAGGTACCAGAAAATGCAAAGGCAGGGAAGGAGAGCCCTCTCCCCTCAACCCCAGGCTGCAGCCTCAGCAAACATGAGCTTGGATGTGCTGCTCTGGCTCCCCACTCCTCCCAGCAGAGTGGCAGCAGCATCAGGGCTGCTCCAGCTGCTCAGAACAGCCCTGAGGATGCTGCAAAGGCTGCTGAGGAGCAAGGCAAGAGCAAGGCACTGCTTGTGCCACCTCTAGAATGCAGAGCCACAGCATGAATGCCAAGCACAAGAGTTCCTTAAAGCTGGGGCTTTCTTTGGCTTTACCACAGCCCAGAGGACACAAGGAGAAGAAGGCTGCAGTAGGAGGGTTGCTGGACAGAGACAATTCCTCAGCCTGACACCCACAGTCCTCCTGCTGCTGGAT